TTCAAATCTACAAAAACAATATAAATGATTTTTCATTTGTTGGTAAAGAAGTCATAAAGAAGTCGTAAGGAAGTCAAGACATTTGTGTTTATTTCCTCCTCAAACATTCGGCTTCCCTCACAAACATGAAATCAAGTTTATTTATTTAAGATTTGAGATGGAGCGACACTTTATTCAAATAACTTTATCGTCAACAGACAAACGTCACTCTAAAGTACATAAAACACATCGTGACATAATAACACATCTGTAATAACTAAATGAACTGCAGCGCACTAAACCAGAAGAGATGTAATAATGAGCCTTTTTTATATCAAAGACATTGAATATTATAATGTATATGTATATTCTATTCTAGTATACGTTATATAATATATGATATATATTATTATATTCTTCAGTGGTCTGAGCAGCTGGTGAAAGGAGGCCAGCTGAAGCTAAATGTGGCTCCTGAGCTGAGGGGTCTCAGGGAGTCCTGGTCTATACTGAGGTCTCAGGGAGTCCTGGTCTGTACTGAGGTCTCAGGAGGGTCCTGGTCTATACTGAGGTCTCAGGGAGTCCTGGTCTATACTGAGGTCTCAGGAGGATCCTGGTCTTTACTGAGGTCTCAGGAGGATCCTGGTCTATACTGAGGTCTCAGGAGGGTCCTGATATTTAATAAGTACTTTGAATTGTTTCGTTCCATCAGGTCAGAAATCAGTTTAAACACTTTGATATGAAAACTTTTATCGACTGTTTGATTTATTTTCATTCAGACTTCTTCTTCCTCTTCTCGGGGTGACAGGGACTCAGTGGTAGATTAATGTTGTGCTTCAATCAGAGGGTCGGTGGTTCCATCCCCAGCTCCACTAGTCGTCCATGTTGACGTGTCATTGGGCTGTTACTGCGGTGTGTGAATGTTAGAAGGTTGATGACATGTAGACTTGAAGAGCTTTGAGTGGTGGAAAGACTAGAAAAGAGAAATACAAGAACATTTATCATTTCATTCAGTTTTTTCCTTCCTCTACTTCTTCTTCACGTCGTCTCGTTTCTGTTCATAATGTTGTTTTTTCTGTGCAATGTTTTCATACTTTTAGGTTTTGTTGTTGCAAAAGCTTTGATTGATTAAAACGGATGAATTTGATGGTAATAGTTAGAAATGACTGCTTCTGTTAATATGAGAGAATATTCTTGACTTAGATTAGTTTGTATTGAGGAGCTCATTGTGTTGTCTGAACTCTACTGATCATTTAAACTGAGTTCTTATCTTCTGATGACTAACATGCAGCTGACCCCCAGCTGCTGCCGTCCCTCAGCATCATCTGCCCTCCAACAGGCTCCGCCCCCTCACATTTATAGCCCCAGTCTCTTTTTTCTGTAACTAAAACCTTCAGAGACACTCAGCACATTTTCATCCAGCTCATGTTAAATCTGTACGACAAAAAAACCCCAACACTATGATGGTTATAGATTCTATAACTTACTGATATTTCAGAGTCATAGTCGGGGTTATAGATTCTATAACTTACCAATATTTCAGAGTCATAGTTGGGGTTATAGATTCTATAACTTACTGATATTTCAGAGTGATAGTCGGGGTTATAGATTCTATAACTTACTGATATTTCAGAGTGATAGTTGGGGTTATAGATTCTATAACTTACTGATATTTCAGAGTCATAGTCGGGGTTGTATATTCTATAACTTACTGATATTTCAGAGTCATGGTCGGGGTTATAGATTATATAATTTACTGATATTTCAGAGTCATGGTTGGGGTTATAGATTATATAATTTACTGATATTTCAGAGTCATAGTCGGGGTTATAAATTCTATAACTTACTGATATTTCAGAGTCATAGTCGGGGTTATAGATTCTATAACTTACTGATATTTCAGAGTCATAGCCGGGGTTATAGATTCTATAACTTACTGATATTTCAGAGTCATAGCCGGGGTTATAGATTCTATAACTTACTGATATTTCAGAGTCATAGTTGGTGTTGTTAACAGCTGATGTTAATTGAATGAACAGTGTTTGTCACAGTTGGTTCTTGGTGTTTGAACATTAAGTCATCTCTTAGAGAGATGAATTGTGGGACAACAATGTGTTCTGTGTTTCAGAAACTGAAAGAAAGACAACAGGAAGTTCTTCTGATCAGATTCGTCAGTTTAACACACATCCACACTGTGATGTGTCGGTCAGACTGAAGACTTTGATTTCATGAATGTTTTGAAGCTGCTGATTGATGAATAATTGGAACACCTTGCATTCTGTTTGTCTGCAGGATGACCTCCAACATGTCAACACAGGCGCCGACGTTCACGCAGCCGCTGCAGAGCGTCGTGGCACTAGAGGGTAGTGCCACGACGTTCGAGGCTCAAGTTAGTGGTAAGAAAGCTTTCTGTTCATTCTGGTTCAACACAAACTCTCATTTTGTTTATCGTGTCTGAGAAAACTGTTCTGCATTTTTATTCTTTAAATTTGTCCAAAACAAAGTTCAACAATAACATAAGTAGTCCAGAATGTGTCATGATCATGAAACCTCAACGTTCATAAAGATATGACTTCAAAGTGAAATATCCCCTGAGCCTGTGACAACCAGTCAGCCAATGAGATTGATTCACTAACGGCAACTGTTTACGTTGAGAACAAAGTCAATGAAACATTTCCAATAGTGGTCCAAAGACTGTAACAGAGAATTTGTTTATCATGTAAATCATGTTTACTTCACTTCCTGATCGTTGAGCATCATCATCAGTTTTTAAGATCTATTTTATCTCTTCAGGATGTGATTCACTTTATTTTGAAGGAAATCAACTTTTTGCTTCAGGAAAAAAAATCGGTCATTGTTTCATCATCTTTATTATTTGTCAAAGTCGCATCATTGTCTTGTGTGAAGGCATTTAAGTGTTTTTCGGGGGCTTTCATGGACCATCTGACATTAAATTGTAACTTTTACCAAAATAAAGGCAACACGACAATAAACTATTTTTTGATATAATTGTCATATTTGGAGAAAAATAATATGAAGAATTCAAACTATCGACTTTAACTATTTACTCACATTTCTATCCAAAGACTTCTTAAATGTTTTACTAAAATCTCTCATTTGTGACTTTAAGATGAAAAAATTCTGAAATGTGTTATTGTCTTTAACCAGGTTTAGAGATTTCTTGTATGTTGGAATCTAAACTCAATAATCATTTTTGATCCCAAAATCGAAATTTGACATATTTCTTTTTTTTGTTTTTCATTTTTCTTCCATCAAATTCTTACTTAAATGTAACTTTTTGTTCTAAGATTCAAACTTTAATCTAATCTTTTATCTCTTTAATGTTGTTGTTAAAAATCTAACTTTATTCTCACATTCCTTAATCCTGAGAATAATCAGGTAAAAAATCAAATGATATTTTGTACATCAAGTCTTTGACTAGAAGTTAACTGGAACCATCATCAGGTCACCTGCTCAGTGTTCTGGAGGTCCGGTGGTTGTTGTTCTCTGACAGCAGGTCTGGTTCTTCTCTCCTCTGCAGGTTCTCCGGTTCCTGAGGTGAGCTGGTTTCGTGATGGTCAGGTTCTTTCCGCTGTGGCTTTGCCCGGCATTCAGATCTCGTTCAGCGACGGCCGCGCTATTCTGAGGATCCCCGCCGTGACCGCCGCACACAGTGGAAGGTTTTCTGTCAGAGCCACCAATGGAGCTGGACAAGCCACGAGCACCGCTGAACTCCTCGTTACAGGTGAGAGCTCAGGTATAAGAGAAGAAGACTTCAGTTCAAAAGTATTTTGGCCATCCAGCGTTCGATCATGTATTTTGTTCAGTTTTTAGGGGAAATAGAGCTGCGTGTCATCAGCATAGTAACATTAAGGGATGTTATATTTTCTAATACACAGACGCCAGTAGAAGAGATTATAATGACAATGTAATAGGGCCTAAGATGGAGCCTTGGGGTACACCACAGGAGACAATAGCAGCAAAACATCTTGGCTTCATGAGTCAAAATACCGTATTAAGTACATAAAGTTTTGACTCCGTATTGTGGTGCATCCTGAAACCTGACTGAATCCGTTCAAAATGTTGTAATCTAAAAACTTTCTTTTCCCAGTACCTTAGATCAAATTTACTATGGCTAACAATTTGATAAGATCCATTCAGATTTGTTTAAATTGAGTCCACTACATGCAGTCTTCTATTGTACTTTTATTTAAATACTCCATAATTGTATTGTATTGTATGCTAATGTCTGCCACTTAGTTCCAGACTGAAATGTCTCAATTATTGGATGGATTGTGATTCAGTATTAGTGAAGTGCTTTGAAAGTACACATTTATAAATAACAGTGTTCCATTTGATAAGTACTGGTTGATGCCTGAGACTAGACACAACATCATGAATCTGGTTTTTGAGCTTCACTTTAAATCAATAATAATATTTTTACCCTCCAGCTGAGACGGCGCCCCCTAACTTCCTCCAGAGGCTGCAGAGCTCAACGGTGCGACAAGGCAGCCGGGTGAAGCTGGACTTTCGAGTCTCCGGCATCCCGCCGCCCACCGTGAAGTTCTACCGAGAGGGAGCCGAGATCCAGAGCTCGGCCGACTTCAGGATTGTCCAGGAGGGAGAGCTGTACAGTCTGCTGATCGCCGAGGCTTTCCCCGAGGATTCTGGGACATATTCTGTGACCGCCTCCAACAGCAGTGGACGAGCCACCTCCACTTGTGAGCTGATGGTTCAGGGTGAGGCCTTTTTAAAGTCTCTACTATATATAAAACAGTCTAGCTTTGTTAAAAGAGGAAAAATCCCAAAGCTTGTTTTTTAGTGTGTGATGCATCTTCCAGTCCCCCGATATTAAAGTCATATATATATATGATAATAAATCTATAAATTAAGTGAAATACTTGAAAAAATTTCAGTTTAAATTTGAATCAGTGTGATGAAACATGAATTTGAGTTGTGCATTTGTGGTTTTTGGATACTGTGAACATGTTAACACAATGATGTTGAGATAATACTGCAATCATTATTTCAGTCTAGTCCTTTAATCCCACTGAACTAAACGTGTGTGTGTTCAGGTGAAGAGGCCGTCCCAGCAAAGAAAACGAAGACTGTGATTTCAACCTCTCAGATTTCACAGACCCGTCAGACCAGAGTGGAAAAGGTACGAAAGAATCCACAAATATGATTTTATTCTAGTTCATAATATTTTAATGTAATTTAACCTCCTCTCTCTCTGTTGTCCATCCTCAGAGGATGGAGGCCAGTCTCCAGGCCACCGCCATGATGGAGATGCAGGTGGAGGGAGCCGAGCTGACTCAGCTGCTGGCTCACAAGACTCCACCCAGAGTTCCTCCCAAACCCATGTCCAAGTCCCCGACTCAGTCCTTGTTGGTCGCCAAGGTGACCGGAGGACGCCATCAGTCGCCATCACCCGTCAGACACGTGAAGGCACCAACGCCGACACCCGGCAGGTGGGTGGAGCCTCAAGTTGTTCCTTTTATCAGGATGGACAGAAGTGCAATAGATGTCAACATAACAGAGTTATAACACATTCAATGCATATGACATAAATTAGTCATATAATGAGAGTAGTGTAAATTATGACAACTAATAGTAGTTGTCAGCAGCAGTGGATATAGTAGAATAATAATGATTATAGAAGCAGTAATAGTAACAGAAATGTGACTAATAATAATAGTATCAGTGGGTGTCAGCAGGACCATGGTCCAGGTAAAACCATGATCCATCCTACGATAGGCTCCCATCCTACTTTTGAAGACTCTAGGAAACTCAATTAACCCCGCATTTAGGGATCGTAGGTCTCATCCATCCATCCATTTTCCTCCGCTTATCCGGGGTCGGGTCGCGGTGGCAAATCCGCGGTAGATCGTAGGTCTCTAGTAGGATAATATGGTACTATAAGCTCCTTAAGATATGACGGTGCTCTCTATTAGGATAATACGGTACTATAAGCTCTATAAGCAGCACTGGGAGCAGCAGGTCACCGGGGTCAAAGAGGTGAGGAGGGCTGAGTGGGGTCCATGCTGCCATCTGGTGGTCACTGAATCCAGGGATATGATGGTGCTCTCTAGTAGGGTAATACGGTACTATAAGCCCCTTAAGATATGATGGTGCTCTCTAGTAGGATAATACGGTACTATAAGCTCCTTAAGATATGATGGTGCTCTCTAGTAGGATAATACGGTACTATAAGCTCCTTAAGATATGATGGTGCTCTCTAGTAGGGTAATACGGTACTATAAGCTCTTTAAGATATGATGGTGCTCTCTAGTAGGGTAATATGGTACTATAAGCTCTTTAAGATATGATGGTGCTCTCTAGTAGGGTAATGTGGTACTATAAGCTCTTTAAGATATGATGGTTTCTGACCAATCAGGGCTTTGTAGGTAAGTAAAAGGATTTTAAATTCTATTCTAGATGTTCCAGGGAGCCAGTGCAGAGAAGCTAATACAAGAGTAATATGATCTCATTTCTTAGTTCTTGTTAGTACATGAGCTGCAGCATTCTGAATCAACTGGAGAGATTTAAGAGACTTATTAGAGCAGCCTGATAATAAGGAATCACAGTAATCTAGTCTAGAGGTAACAAATGCATGAACTCACTAACTAACTACGTAACAGCTTTTATTTGAGATCTTACAGTAAGAGATTTAGTGGTCGTAGTAAAGAGATTTAGGATCAGTGAGCGGGGCGATGATGTCCCCCTACAGGCCTGTAACCAGACCTCCATCCCCCATCTGCAGACCTGCCTCTCCCTCTTCAAGACTCTCGGTCTCCTCCATCAGGCCGGTCAAATCCCCCATCACCGCCCGCAAGCTGGCGGCTGCCGCTGGCGACGTCCTGCCACCCTGGAAGCAGGGAGACTTTGTGGCCGAGGCCAGCTACACCAGCATGACCAGCATGACCAGTAGGACCAGCAGCACCGTCACCCAGCTGGGCCAGGAGCAGCACTGGGAGCAGCAGGTCACCGGGGTCAAAGAGGTGAGGAGGGCTGAGTGGGGTCCATGCTGCCATCTGGTGGTCACTGAATCCAGGGAGCAATTTGAGAAACCTGGAGGACAGACGGTGTTCGTCGAGATTTTAAAAAATAGACACACAGAAAAATCACTGGTCGAAATGTTTGTTGTATAATATAAGTCACGTTTCTAAATTATTCTGAAAGTAAGGATGTGGAGTCTGGCTGAGAGGTGTCGTGCTAAAAGCCTGTCAATGAAGTTCAATGGGTGGAGCTGCAGTTCCTCAACACACCACTAGATGGTGAATCCTGGAAATCTCTGACTGTTGAGGTTAATTAGAAAATCAGACTTCTCTCTACTAAAACTCTTAATGTGACATTTAAAAATTTAGTTTTTAGAAAGAGAAATGAAAGCAAAATATTTCTTGTTGAACAAGTTGCTCCGGAGTGAGTGTGAGTGACTTGTTCCCAAATATGTGAGTGACACGACATAATGGCGTGTTTTGTATGTTTAATATCTGGTCCTGATGAGTCTTTGAGGGTTCTGTTTGTTCTATTTCCGTCTCATTGTTTGAAATGTGACTAATTCTGTTTAGCTGGACGAGAGAACTACAAACGTCCATCATTTCATCAGTTGGACTGGATTTAAGGCTTTCACTCTCCATCAATCTATAATTAGTTTCCTATGATCTTATATGTTTGTAGTTGAATATCTCTGTACATCTTTGTTGGCCCCAGCTCTGCTCTGTTGATCTTCTTATCAATCTAAAGGTGAAGAAAGACCCTTAAAAGTCTGTCCCTACAACAGCTCCACATGTCTATGATCACATGTTCATAGGGTGAGTCTCACCATCACGTGACTCAGGTCTGTTTTTGACCATATTGTGTCGACCTCTTTGTCGTTCTTGGTTTGTGACACTTTTCTCTTTGACATTTTTGCTTTCTGGGCACTAAACAGCCAAATGAAGAGCAGAGTTGATCCTTTTGATTTGGTTATTAGCCTCAGACTGTTGAGATGGAGTCAGAGTCATCGGGAAAGCCTGATGACTCAAATGTAATTCTAGGATCCACGCGGAGATACCATGTGACCTTAAGGTCCATCATTCGGACATGAAGTCATCTGGTTATGAGTTCAGCTTAAACCAGGGAGACCTGATGATGTCTTCAGTAGAAGAAGGAGACACAAACAGATGAGATGTGTATGAGTCCATCGTCCATCTGTAGAGATCTCTCCTCCATCTTTATCCACAAAGAATCTTCACCAAACAAAGAAACCTTCAGATTTCATAACCGGAACGTTTTGACTCTTATTCAGTCGAGTAGTGTCACTGTGATCTCAACCAAGATGTCCTCCTGTCCCTCCAGCAGCCGGAGGAGCAGGTAGCTCTTCATCATCACCAGTGAACACATCACCGATGCTCTGTTTTCTGTTTTCAACATTTTCAGCCTCTTTTTTTGAGTTTGGTTGCCACTTCACTTTCCTGCACCGTCAGCTCTTTTATTTCTGTTTAAACACTCGTCATATTTCTTGTATGTCAATCAGAAGACTAGTATGTGTTGTCTTCAACAGATGAGCCTCAATGTTTATGTGAGTACATTTACACACAAACACTAGTACTTTGTCCATGACGTCTCCAAACTCAGTTTAACAGTTTATTACCTAAATGACTCCACAAAGTGGACGTTGATCCAAAACCAGGATCAGAGTTTCAGCTTCAGAGTACAAAATAGAGGAGCAAGTTCTGATCCAGGTTTCGATAACCAGGAAATAAAGTTTGCATACGTATGTAAAAATGTAAACTGTAATCTTGACTGAAGTTCTGCTGTCTTTTACAGAGACAGGAGGACGTCAAGGGGTCAAATCTTTGAACACATTAGTAATTCATGTATTACGGTCCCTTGATTTGAGTAATTAAGGTTCTTGAATGAAATTCCCCGTAAAACCACCATTTGTGGGTTTTTTTGTATTTCTATTTGTGTACAGAAACAAACAAGCCCCACAAGATCCAACATGTCAATCAATGAGCTTCAGAGGAGGTGGGAGGAGTTTCTAGTTCCCGAGGAAACATTGTTCCAACAAATCAATATTCTAGAACACAATAGTCTGAAAAATGTCCCATTGTTCAAAAACACTCTCTTCCTGCAACAAGTAGAAGCACATGGTTAATTATTATGCAGAATCATTGGACATGACCCGCCCTACTCTGCCTGATTGGCTGACTCGGATGTTCCCTAATCGGTTTCCCTCATCATGCCTAAACCTCACCAACCCAACCAATGAAGACGGGGAGGTCAGAAGGTTCTCATGATATTTAGACATGTGCTTCTGTTTGTTGAGTGTATTTTCAGAACAATTGGAAATAAATTGGTCAGAAAAGACTGTTTCCCAAGAACCGCTCTTCTTTTAAATTAAAATAGACTTCAGGACAAATGGAATGAGTTTGTGTTCTTTTGAGGGAACTAACTAAAACTAGATCCAGACCCATCCACCTGCCTGTCTCTGTCCTGCCATGGATGTCCTGATATCTATGTGCTGCTGGTTGTGTCTCCAGGCTGAGGGAGGGGAAAGAGCCGAGGCAGTGGCCAAAGTGTTGGCTGCCGTCGACCTGGCTCGCGTCCGTCAGCCGTTGCATGTGGAGGGCGGTGGAGCTGAAGAGGAGGAGGCTGTAGAAGCAGAGTTAAGCCAGCAGGCTGCCGCTGTCGATCAACAGTATCGAGCCGGCTGGACAACAACCAGAGCGCAGGCTGGTCAAACGCTTACTACTCCTCAGGGGTTCACACCTGAACCCACTCGGCCTCAGGTTAGCTCGGCCTCCAGAGCAAAGAAACAACACAATTACCAAGAGACTCGGAAATATCATCAGATGAACTCGGTCTGTTAACAGCCGTTTGGTTATCACCATCTTTTGAACTGGCAAACAATTTTTTAGACCTTTCAAAGTTTAAAGGAACTTCAGAAACAATCCCAACAGTTCTTATCAGACTTATTAAGAGTTCCTATGAAATATGCTTAACGCATTTACCTTCAGTAATTCACCTTCAGTAATGGTCATTAGGTACCCGTTAGAGTATTGAGACCCTTTACCAAGGTGATGGCTTGATTCTCATCCGAAATTCGTTGAGTCTCAAGGTTTGTTAGTTGTATTAACGCAGTACGTGAGACTGGACGGTGAACTAGTAGGAGAATTGATGTAGGCTTTGATGATTATTTGCCAGTGCTTTAACATAATACTCTAAAATACTTCAATAATTACTCTTGATAACCGTGTGATTATTTGCAGCACTTATAGGACTAAAGTATTGTACATTTATATAAATGTAACGCTCCTGTGAACTGTGTTGGTTACTCCAGATTCAGAGAGCGACAGAAGACTCTGATCTCGCCTCGTCTCCAGTTCCACATTTCACAGTTTCTAAAGTTTCTGTCCCAAAACATGAGGCTAGCTCTGAGGTAAGAGGCAACACGAGGCAAGCAGTAGAGAATAACCTGCATGGAAAGAGTTTAACATTCGAATCATTTCAAATGATACAAACAATAACTGTGTTCCTGCTAACCTGTTAGACTTTCTGTTAAATGAACCTTTGACTACAGAAATGAGGACTGAAAGATTTTATTTATTTTAGTGAGTGAAGCAATTATGAAAAAATCAACGTCCAGATTCATTTTAAATGTTGTTTTTAATAAACAAACCCCTTTAACGTAGATACGAACTTGATGGCTACATACATGCTAATGTGCTAACTGCTTGAGGCTAAAGCTAACAGGTCTCAGGTGGAGAGAAGAAATAAAGACAGCATTGGTCTTCTATTTCAGTGAAGCGCTAGTTTGTCGAAGTGTTACAGTTTAGTATAAAAACGAGACATTACAGTTGCTGTTGGGGGGGGCTTTAGTCTTATTACTGCTTGCCTAAAATGCAAACTTGTTGTGAACCTTGGTGTAGAAGTGATGAAATAATAATGAAAAGAATCCACCCGTAACAATGCTTTTCTTCACATCCTTAAACAATAATCACAGTTCTGAACCCGCTTATTAATACGGCTTAATAAAACTCCCTTCATTTGTACCTTAAATAAAACTAACGGTCTTTCAATTCCTCCCAATGCTGTGGTTTAACACAAACTTCTAAAACAAACCAACATGTGTTATTGACGATGGTGTGCCTGTTGCTCCTCTTTGGGTCGGTCAGGTTTCCATCGCCGGCTCGGCGATCGCCGCTCTGCAGAAAGAGTTCTCTTCATCCTCGGCTAGAAAGATCATCAAGACCGTCAAGTCTCCCAGTCCGTCTCGTACAACGGTCGAGACCCGAGAGACTCTGGAGGCCGTCCCTCCACCGTTCAAAGACCAATACCAGAGTCATTTAGTCTCTGAGTTACAGACGGGGGTGGTGTTTGAGGACTGGGGAGCCCAGGTTTGTAATCTAGTGTAGTGGGCTGGATCTGAACCGGACAAGAAAACCTGATGAGTAAATGAAGGTCAGATAACTTCTGTAGTCCAAACCGGCAATAAAGAATCCATGTTTTTCTTCGTTGTACTTTAGATTCCACTTTCAACACAAGAAATCTAAAATCTAAAATCTAAATTGCACTTTTAGTGCAATTTTCCTTCTCCCGAGAGCTTAAATCTCTTTATTTTTACTGGCCCTTTTGATTTAAGCACCACCCCAAATTTCTACAGGGGCATCTCCAACCTTTAGTCTAGTTTTAAGTCAGGTTTTCTTGTTTTGTGTTAAAATCCAGGATTTAATATCTCTCTAATAAAAACATGCTCATCGACGCCACTGACAACCTCATTCTCACCTCTTGAGTGCATCCAGCCTTCCTCTCATCGATCCATCTGCTGTGTTGTCTTTTCTTATATGTTGGATGTTTATAACAAGTCTGAAGTCTTGTCCAGTGTGTGTTTGATTAGCTGTGTCGTGTCGTGGATTTTAGAAGTCGGTGTATTTTCGGTGCTAACCCATCCATGACCATTCGACAGGTGATGGAGGCAGCAGCCGTACCTTCTGCAGGAGGCGCTGTGATCCCGGCCACTCTGGTGTCGGTAAGTGGTCTAGTTTTCCCTCAAAACCCATTGGGAAAACATTTTCTAAAAGTTTTTGTTTTGTGTGCAGGGCTTGAAGAACACAAACGTGACGGAGGGCGAGTCGGTGACCCTGGAGTGCCAGATCAGTGGTCACCCGACTCCCGTCATCATGTGGTTCAGAGAGGACTACAAGATCGAGACCTCCATCGACTTCCAGATCAGCTATGTGAGCGGCTTCGCCCGGCTGGTGATCCGCGAGGCATTCGCCGAAGACAGCGGACGCTTTACCTGCACCGCCACAAACGAGGCGGGAACCGTCAGCACCTCCTGCTACCTGCTCATCCAGGGTCAGTACGAACAGGAGGAACATCAGTCACCAATAATCAACAGCTTGCATTCCATGTGACTTACTGTAAATAAGACGTTTTCAATGCCCCTCTAAATGTGCAGTCACCTCTTGAGACCGTTGAGGTTTCTTTGTGGGGTCTCTTCTGTTTTCACATGAGATTTCATCTTTATATAAAGATATTATTTTCTTTTTACCTCCAGTGTCCGAGGACATCGAGAGCAGAGAGGAGATCGCTGTCGTCACCGAACATGTTGAAACTGCTGAGAAGCTGTGAGTCGATCAAGCTCCTTTAAAGTTTGCATATACAGTATACAGTATATACGGGTTCAACATTAAGTCAAGAGAGGATGTTTTCAGCTTCTTTATTTTCTAACTGTTGTTAAGGACATTATTGATTCTAAAAGAACTTTGTATTTTCAGAGTAACCGAAGAAGCCAGAGAGGAGACCACGTCTCAGGTGAGCGTGGCCGAGTCCGACACTGCGGCCACCGCTCCCTTCTTCATCAAGTTACCAACCGTCCAGAAGCTGGTGGAAGGAGGAAGTGTTTTGTTTGAATGTCAAGTCAGGGGAAGCCCCAAACCTCACATCATCTGGAAGAAAAGCGGGATACCGCTCACTACCGGATACAGGTATGTAATATCTTTTCAAGGTTCCTAGAGGAAGATTCATGTGATTTATTTATTATTATCTATTAATGATTCTGCACATTTTTACTTTCTTGGGTTTGAATATTTAACTCAAGTTGACATGCAATATCCATTTTACAGTTAGACAGTGTGGAACAACATTATTCTAACCTTAAAGCTTCTTTTCGGGAATTGAAAGGGAAACAGTTTCTACACTAAAATAGTAGAAATGCTATTCTCGTAACTTCTACTGTGATGTCTTCCCTTCCTCTTCCTAACATTTCTTGAGCTTATTTTGCTGCTCGATCTGGGATTTTTTTTCTTGAGTGACCCTCAGGACAAAATGTGATAAATCATTTGTTAACTGTAGTGAACTCTGCTGCCTCCAGTGGCCACTCATCATCATTGCATTGCCTCTAACGTGCTCTTTCTCCTGCGCGGTCCATCAGATACAAAGTCGCCTACAAGAAGGAGACTGGAGAATGCAAGTTGGAGATCTCCATGACCTTTGCCGATGACGCCGGAGAATACTCCGTCTTTGTCAAGAACCAGCTCGGAGAAGTCTCAGCCTCCGCCAGTCTGCTGGACGAAGGTACGTAAACATCTCCATCGACTTCACCATGTTAATGAAGTAAGACAGAAGGAGAAGAAGTCATGTCAGAACAGGAATCACAGATGACTTCTTCTCCTCTGATGTCAGGATGTATCAAAGATATAAGTTGTTTGAGCTCTCATGACATTAAATGCTTTGTTTTGCTGACAGATGAATACGAAGTCTACATGAAGAAACAGGCAGCCAGCTTTAAGACTGAAATGACAGCCATGGTGCAGGAGCCCAAAGTGGGAGACGTTCCTCCCGTTGTCATTACGACCATGGAGCAGATGACCACCACCATTATCTCTGGACAGGTACGAGCATCATGAGCCAAAACGTCAAAGTTGTATCAGTGGTGGGCCGTCAGGCTAAGTCTTCTCTGATGGCCTAAACAGAATCACAAAGTTATAGCTATTTTATAATCTAATAATTGTTCATAAATACACTACATGTATTATAATATTTTCCCCATTATCTTATGTTCTCATTGCACAGCTACTGTCTTCCTCAGTTGCTCTGCTTCCAGTGCAGCTTGTTTTAAGTAGAGCTTCTATCCAATCAGATTTCACCTCTGTGTCTCTAGGTAAGAAGAGAGGCAGAGGCCTGCAGACTCACAAGTGAATCCATGTGCAGTTTAAGTGAATGGAGACGATATTGTTGATTGTCATAGTCTTCAACCAATCAGATCTTTAGTTTGACATGTTGGGCGTATTCTTTGACGTGCCACTGCTACCCAGGTAGCCTCCTAAGTACGTCTGCATTAACGTGCGCTGTGATTGGTCAGTGGGCCAGCGTGACTTTTGTCAAACAGAAAGCTAGCTAGCAGATCTTAAACAGATTTGGGAGTTACTGACTTTGTTGCTAACAAAGAAAGGAGGATGGACTTTGTGTTTAAGTGAACAGGAGCTGTGGTCAGTGAACTGCTTTAGCGTTACTACTGTTCATTTGTCTATCGTGTCGTTTTTATGAAGAATATGAATAATATGAATGGCTCGTGTTCTAGCGCTGCAGTGTTGCTGGATTGATTTGTTGCTTTGTTGTCACATGAATATATGTGACTGGTTCTTGTGAGTTTGTTCTTGTCATTGTGTTTATTACATTGATTTGGACTATATGCATTGTTAATTACGAAGCATCCCGTCATGCGCGGGGTTATTGTCCGCACAATTGAATCCGTTCGGGCTGTTTTCTTTTTACAAAGCAAGAATGATGGTCTGGAGAAATGGGGATTGTGTGGCGATTGCTTAGCCCTGTTTGAATCAGTAGGGAACAGCTGAACACTGTGGGGAGAGTTTGTAGATTGTGTGCCGCAGTTGTTTCCCCGCTAAGCTAGTTTAGCCTCCCTGAAGTGCGGGGCCTCAGCTGTTTTTTGTTATTGTTCCGGGTTCAGAGATCACAGTCCGTTGTCTCCTACGTGAGCGCAGTCCAACGAAAACATTATATTTCCCTCAATTTAAGCTTCTGAATTTTACAAATGCACCAGTATTATTCAAACGTATTGTTCAGTTCGTAAGCCTCATACCGAACGGTTTAATACGAATACTTGTATTGTTACGCCCCTAGAAACAAATAACCGTAGCTGTGGCGTCATAATGAGGTTATTAGGAGATGGCTCAAGTGTAGTAGGACAGCACAGGTATAAAATGCACGGCCCACCACTGAGTTGTAGCAATGATGGAATCACTTTCTAAACATGTGATCAAGGTTGCCTGCATCATTTACAATGTTTTCTTTTCATTCAAACACTTACTTGGCCACTCTGACTTTGCCAATATTTAGATAACCTTCACCCTGATTGACCGTAAAAAAAATGAAATTACTGCCATAGAACTCCCGAGAACCTGAGCAAGTCAAGTTCAAACATCTAACGTCTCATTTCATCTGCAGGAATTCCATCTTTCTGTCATTGAGCAGAGGATCATGCATGAGATTGAACTCTGCATTATGAAGATTACCTACAGAGAGATAGTGACAGAGGACGGAGAGTTGATGGTGACTGCTGACCCCACTGAGGCCGTACAGCCTGCCTTCGACACTCCTGTCAAAAACTACAGAATCATGGACGGGATGGGCGTCACTTTCCACTGCAAGATGGCTGGAATACCGCTCCCCAAGGTGCTGCATTTTTAAATAAATTGGGGTTAAAGATAGAAATTTGAGTTAGACATGTGTATCCACAGAAGTCTGACAGCAACATTTTGTCTTCTCCTAGATTGCTTGGTACAAAGACGGCCAGCGCATCAGGCCCGGCGACCGTTACCAGATGGAGGTTCTTCAGGACGGACGAGCCAGCCTCCGTCTGCCCGTGGTGCTACCGGAGGATGAGGGCGTGTACACCGCCTTCGCCTCCAACATGAAGGGAAATGCCGTCAGCTCTGGGAAGCTCTACGTGGAGCCATCCGGAGCTGTGACCCCTCAGAGATACACGCCACAGCCAGCGATGCAGAGGATCAGGTGAGGATCACATGTCAGTCTGGAGGCTCCCCGGTGATTAACGATTGACCTCGATACTGACAACTTTGCTGCTTTCTCAGATCCACTTCTCCTCGTTCTCTGAGCCGCTCACCCGGACGTTCTTCCAGTCGTTCTCCCGGACGTTCTCCGGCCCGCCGACTCGACGAGACGGACGAGGCTCAGCTGGAAAGACTGTACAAGCCTGTGTTTGTCCTGAAACCTTCCTCATGTAAATGCTCCGAGGGGCAAACTGCCAGATTCGACCTGAAGGTCGTAGGCAGACCGATGCCCGACACATACTGGTTCCACAATGGTGAGTAAAAAACTAGTACTTCTTCATTAAAACCTCTTAAGCACGACGCCCCCGAATTTGGGGGCTATCGGGCTCAGCCCCCCTGAAAAAATTGTTCGGAAAATGGACTTATTGTTCGCCAATATTGTGGATTTGTACTTTTTTTTTACCGGATTAAACAGCAACGTATGGGCAACACTATCATATAATTCACTTCTTACACACTCCAAACACAACTATAGACTACTAATATAAGCATCTAGAAAAAGTGGCATAAAAGGACGAATTTCTGGTCAAAAATCGCCGTTATGTGTACTGCAAATCAACATAGCACCACGAAGCTAGCGGCTAGCCGGCTAATCCGCACATCGTTTAGCAACTGCATACGACACAGAACGCATAAATACCTTCGGTTTTTCTCTCCGTGAAACCAGTAGAAAGCTGTGAGTGGACAACGGTACCATGGCAGTGGTCTTCGCCGAAACAAATCGTTGGTTTTTGGTCACGTTTTATGAAGAATTATGACAATAACATCGAAAATGATCCGGTTCAGAGCTACAATCATTGTTGGAAACTGCATCCTGTCTGCTCCCGATCTGTTTCCTGTTGAAGGGGGGTCAATCCACCATGGGCGAGCGGTCAGACTTTCGGCCAATGGAATTTTACGCTCGGGGATACGCGGCACTTCTTGCAACGTTACTCGCTGAAACTTCTGTCAATCGACACCCGCTTCGACACCCGCCTTCTTGAGACTCTGACGCGTCGAAGGCGGGCTCATTGACTGAAATCGACCGATGATAGGCTGAGCTACAGCGCCATACACACACATCAACTGAGAAAATCCTATGGATGAGAGCCAGAGACAGGCTCTGACAGCAACCTCGCTCTCAAAATGATTCTAAACAGCTGTATTTGGATGTATTGAATAATATGAGTGATAAAAAAGTGAAATATATAGTTATATAGTATATAAAAGTACAATGTAAGAGCTGCAACAGCTGGTTCCAGGATGACGACCTCGCGTGACCTCTCTGTACTAAAGCCTCTTATTCTTCACTTTATCCCAGCCAAACGTTATTCTACGACTACTGATCGTACATACGTAGGTTGTGCTATGATTTGGGAGAGTTTTTAGGCTGCCAGCTGCATTATTTCAAAAACACAATATCAATAAAAGTGCTTTTTTTTCAGGCGAACCTGAATATTTTCAATTTGAGCTGTGCAATATCTTCATGCACTATATTAACCAGCAACATATACACAATATTTACCCATCTGAACAATCTCAAAGTGTTATCTGATTATAGCATCAAAAATTATTAAAATAGACCTTGTAGTTACAGAACTCTGGTCACTTTAGTATGGGTATGCCATTTTCGAGCAGAGGCCTACAAATAGGGCTCGAGCTTAATTAAATTAAAGTGTTCTTGCATGAGATTTGTTGTCCTCACAATAACCAATATCCGTACATCGCCTCCTCAGGGCAACAAGTGGTTAGCGACTACACTCACAAGATAGTGGTCAAAGAGGACGGTGTCCAGTCCTTGATCATCGTCCCGGCCTTGCCACAAGACTCTGGAGAGTGGACAGTCGTCGCTCAGAACAGAGCTGGACGGACTTCAGTCTCTGTAACTCTTACTGTCGATGGTACGACTACAGCTCACTATGGACTTCCTGTTAACACTTATACTAATTAACATTTATTGACTTTAAGGTTCCAATTAATTTTCTTTCTTTTTCAGCTAAAGAAACCTTAGTGCGCCCTCAGTTCATTGAGAAGCTGAAGAACATCAGTGTAAAACAGGGCACTCTGGTTGAACTGGCTGTCAAAGCCATTGGAAACCCTCTGCCTGACATCGTCTGGCTGAAAAACAGTGATATTATCACCCCACACAAGCACCCACACATCAGGTATGTTTTCTATTGGCTGTGTTATCAGTATTTATAAATTGAGTTATTCAGTATTTTCATTTAAATGACGTCCAATGTTTACAATCAATTTCCCTCATCCCTGTCTGGAACAATTCATCCAATAATTTGAACTTTGATTTCATATTTGATGATGTTTTTACTTTGATTACCTCAAAACTGACTCGTCAAGAAGCACAAATGAGCCGAGGTCAGAGGAGAAGCCGTATTTTATACACCGGAGATTTTTCAGTAAGAGAGAACTGACGAGTTACACATTATCTTGTTCTGTCCTTCAACACTATGTACGACACATACAATCTCTCTGAGAGGTAAAACATAGGGTTTCTTCACACTTTCTGCCTGGTCACTATGATAAAGTCTGTAGTCAGCTGAGTCATTGAGAGATATCTCACAACGTCTGAGAATATAGAATATATAAGATCTGAAAATGCTAAAGATATTCTGATGAATCCATCTTCCAGGGTTGAAGGAACAAGAGGAGATGCCAAATTCCAGATTCCCTCAACAGCTGGCTCAGACAGCGCCTGGTACACAGCTACAGCCATCAACAAGGCCGGCAGAGACACCACTCGCTGCAGAGTCAACATTGAGGTGGACTATGTTGAACCTGAACCAGAGAGGAAGCTCATTATTCCCAAAGGAACCTACAAAGCCAAGGAGATCGCCCCTCCCGAGTTGGAGCCCCTTCATCTGCGATATGGTCAAGAGCAGTGGGAGGAGGGCGACCTTTACGACAAAGAGAAGCAACAGAAACCACAGTTCAAGAAGAAGCTGACTTCCATCAGAATGAAGCGTTTTGGTCCGGCTCACTTTGAGTGCAGACTGACCCCTATCGGTGACCCCAACATGATGGTGGAGTGGCTGCACGACGGCAAACCCCTGGAAGCTGCTAACAGGTTGCGCATGGTCAATGAATTTGGCTACTGCAGTCTCGACTATGAAGCCGCTTACGCCAGAGACAGCGGCGTCGTCACCTGCAGAGCCACGAACAAATACGGAGTCGACCAAAACTCGGCCACCCTGGTCGTCAAGGACGAAAAGGGTCTTGTTGAGGAGACTCAGCTCCCTGAAGGCAGGAAAGGAGCACACCGAATCCAAGAGATTGAACGCATGGCTCATGAGGGAGGACCCTACGGAGTCACTGCTGAGGAAGATACTGACAAAATGAAACCTGAGATCGTCCTCCTTCCTGAACCAGCCAGAGTGCTGGAGGGCGACACAGCACGATTCCGCTGCAGAGTGACCGGTTATCCATTACCCAAGGTTAACTGGTATCTCAACGGACAACTGATCCGCAAGAGCAAGAGATACAGACTTCGTTATGATGGTATTTACTACTTGGAGATCACTGAAATCAAATCCTATGATTCTGGAGAGGTCAAATTAGTAGCTCACAACAACCTGGGCTCAGCCGAGCACATCGTGAAGCTGGAGATTCAACAGAAAGAGGATTTCAGAACTCATCTGCGCCGTGCCCCAGAGGGTAAGGCAGCCGAGGCCGCACCCGAACCTGGAAAAGTACAATTCGAGGTAGTGAAGGCTGAGAAACCTGCAGACGACTCTCAGCTAAAAGAGGTGGTCAAGCTGAAGAAGGCTCACAGAATCGTCCATGAGAAATCCACGGAGGAATCAGATGAGCTTAGGGGCAAGTTCAAGCGCAGGACAGAGGAAGGCTATTACGAGTCCATCACTGCCGTGGAGCTTAAGTCACGTAAGAAGGACGAGTCCTACGAGGATCTCCTGAAGAAAACGAAGGAGGATCTGCTTCACCGCGCCATGGCGAAGGAGGAGGCTGAGAAGAAGATGGAAGAGGAGCGCCGCAAGGTTACAGCTAAAGCTCTGAAACCAGAAAGGGTCAAGCTCTCAGCCAGCATGGAAGCTCCCAAGATCATGGAGCGTATCACCAGCCAGACAGTCGCACAGGGTGACGAAGTCAAGTTCAGAGTCAGAGTCGTCGGCAGACCAGAACCCGAGTGCCAGTGGTTCAAAAATGGTGTTCTGCTTGAGAAGTCTGATCGTATTAACTGGTACTGGCCTGAGGATCATGTGTGTGAACTGGTGATCAGAGACGTCATAGCTGAGGATTCTGCCAGTGTCATGGTTAAAGCTTCCAGCACTGCCGGAGAGACTTCCAGCCATGCTTTCCTGCTGGTGCAAGGTAACGGCTCTGGACTTTCTACAACATCCATGTAAATTCTACATTTGAATTGTGCATTTTGTAACAAAGAGTTTGTTGTTATTCTTGCAGCCAAGACAGTCATCTCCTTCACGCAGAAGCTGGAGGACGTCGACGCAAATGAGAAGGACACCATGGCGACCTTTGAGTGTGAAACCAATGAGCCTTTTGTCAAGGTCAAATGGCTGAAGAATAACGTGGAGATCTTCTCCGGAGACAAATACAGAATGCACTCTGACAGAAAGGTTCACTTCCTGTCTGTGCTGGTGATTGACATGAGGGACGACGCAGAATTCAGCTGCATGGTGGTGGACGACGACATCAGCACAACCGCTAAGCTCAAAGTGGAAGGTATATGTATACCTCAACATTCACTTCTACTTCACAGATAATGGACACATACACCCACATGTAACTACACAGCTGAACACTGGCTCCTAGTTTTGAATTGGTCATGAGGTTTAGACACATAAAACTTTAAAAATAAACTTCATCTTGTTAACCTCTGGTTTATGCAGGAAATGGTATAAAATCTTGTTTTCCACCACACCATGCACACATCATACAAGAGAAACAGCGTTGATAAATAATCATGCAGGGAAACTGTAATGAACTTGATCTGCTCCCTGATGCATTTGCTCAGGTTGGATGTGACTTAACATGGATTTCCACCGTCACTGTGTCCTGGTGCATGATGCACTTTTCACTGATGTAGCATCTGTATTATGTCATCAACAGGAGCTCCGCTGGAGATCGTGAAGCAGCTCGAGAGCACAGAGGTTCCTGAGACGTACTCTGGAGAGTTTGAGTGCGTCGTGTCCCGCGAGGATGCTGAAGGCAGCTGGTTCCTCGGAGAAAAGCTGCTTTCTCCCAGCAGCAAATACGTCATGTCCTCCCGCCGTGGAAGACATTCCCTGTCAGTCAGAGACGTAAAGAAGGAGGACCAGGGGAAATATACCTTCAAAGTGGACAATTTCAAGACAAGTGCATCGCTGAAGATGAAATGTGAGTGATGGAAGTAACTTAAAGTTTGGAGCTTCTAGCTCGGTCAAAGCCCGTCAATCTATCCAAAAATGAAATGAAACTTCTGGTCAGATTTCCATGAAATTTGGTGTCAGAATTCATGATTCCCAGAGGGTGACTCCAAGTAAGTTTTGTGACCTCTTGAACCTCTAGGAAAACCCTCAGGCCAAATTGTCCAGTTAAGAGTTTGGACATTTCATGTCTTTTCTTGTAGCATCACAATGTACCAAAATGGCTGAATCTTCATCATGTTGTTTTTTTCAATCTATCAATGTCATAGATTGGGGTGTCAGGAATACTGCAGTTCCATAGGGTGCTCTTTTATTCTGCTTTTATCTGGTTCCTCACATGTTTGTCTTGATGTCTCAGTGCGTCCCGTAACCCTGATGCAGCCTCTGACTGATATGACCATCTGCGAGGGCGACATCGCTCAACTGGAGGTCAAGTTCTCCCAGGAGAATGTCGAAGGAACCTGGATGAAGAACGGACAGCCGGTCACGGCCTCGAGCCGCGTGCACATTGTTATCGACAAACAGATCCACAAACTTCTGATCGAAGACACCAACAAGGACGATGTTGGAATGTACTCCTTTGAGGTTCCCGCTCAGGCCATGTCAACCTCTGCAAAGCTGCTCATTCAGAGTAAGGCACCTTGGATGTCTTTTTTTTCCAAAGGACTTAGTGCTCCAAAATAAAATGTTACTAAAGATTTTATCTTGGGTTGCAGCCATTGGCGTCTTGATCCCACTGAAGGACACGAGCGCCGTTGAGGGCACCAAATCGGTCATGGAGTGCAAGATCTCTGCTCAAGACGTCAGCTCAGTCAAATGGTTCCACAACGACAATCTGCTGACGCGCAGCGACCGAGTCCAGATGGTGGCAAAGGGAGCCAAGCAGCGTCTGGTCTTCAACAGGACCTTCGCTTCAGATGAAGGACAGTACAAACTAGTGGTCGGCCGAGCCGACACCAGCTGCAGATTTTCTGTTCAGAGTAAGTTATATTGTATAAGCATGTGTTACTACTTACAACTTACACACAGATTATACTTTTAGTGAGATGAGTAAATCAACAGAATCGTTCATCGCATCTTTCAATTAGTTTTATGTATAATAATTACAAATCTGAATTTGTCATGAGGAATTATAGCACACCATTAATAAAGTGAGTAACACAAGAAGTCGTACTTCAAAAACTGATTTTCTGCTACATTCAAAAGACGCCAAAGAGAAGCGAGAGATTTGTTTAGATTGATGCCAAATTTAAAGGAATGGTAGTTAAAAAGTCTCTCAAATTGAAGTCCTAACTGGTAAACACAACAGAAGCTTTCGGTTTACTCGTGAAACCGATGTTCAATGTACCAGGAAATGAAATTCTAATATTTACTTTGAATCCTTAGAAAAATCTTTCCCAGTTTCTCTGCAGGATCCTGGGCTCTTTAGCAGTGTAATATTGATATGTTCCCAGAGCCCAAAGAAGTCTAGAATAAGAAAGTTAGAATACAGGACATGATGCTGCTTGCAGAAACAGCTGATCTCACTCAAACAGCCCCATCTGCTGGACATTTTAATCATTACATTTTCTGTGAAAGAATCAAAAGACCCAAAACAAAAACTGATCTTTCTGATAAACGTTAATTATCATAAATGTGATACGTTGATCTTTAGTCAAACGGACTGACTCTTGTTCCGTCTTTCAGCTGTCCAGATCGTGAAACCGATTAACGACACGGAGTGCTCAGAGTCTGAGAACGTCATGTTTGACGTTGAGGTTTCACACCCCGGCATCGACGCCTTCTGGACCTTCAAGAGGCAGCCGATCAAAGCCGGCACAAAATACAAGACGGAGTCCAAGAACAAGCTCCACAGGCTGACCGTCATGAACGCAATGAAGGACGAGGAGGGCGAGTACATGTTCGCCGCCGGTGAGAAGATGTGCAGCGCTTCACTCACCGTATCAGGTAAGTCGGAATCTGTATTAAAGATGGCTTCTGTTGCCATTGGTCGAGCGTTAACTAACTGGAACTACCTCCTCCTGCCACCAGGTGGTGCCATCAGGAAGCCCTTGCATGATCTGGTGGTGGCCGACTCCCAGACCTCGGTGTTGGAGTGTGAGGTGGCGAATCCCTCCGCTGACGGCAAGTGGCTGAAAGATGGCCATCGTGTGGACTTCAACGAGAACACGATGAGCGAGGTGAACGGCGCTGTCAGACGCCTCGTCATCGTGATCACCAAACCCACCGACGTCGGAGAGTACACCTACCAGGTGGCCACCTCCAGGACCTCAGCCACCCTGAGAGTGGAGGGTAGGTCCAGGTTTCATGAGGGACACAAACCAGACGTGACCTGTTTTGGTTTTTTATGAAGGAGCCATTAAAGGAAGGGTTTCATGTACTTAATAATATTTAATTATATATCCAGTTATGAAAGTTTGATCTCCATTAAATCTTATCAAGTGACATGATATCAAATATGCACACACATCAAATGAATCAGTTAAATCTGTGCTTGTTTTTTCCTGAAGTTGTATCATAGAAATATAAATCTACTTTGAAAACAAACCCAGCTCACTCTCAAGATACATCAAACATTATTTGTCTTATTTGCATGATTTTGGAGTATTTTAAAGGTGCATTTTTACTCTTTTGAGGAAAGGTCTTAGACACGTAGAGATGGTAGTGTAGCCGAGGGTTTACGTTGCGTCTATACTGTAGGATAATAATAAAATAATAAGCACGGGGCTCCGTATTCTGCGCCAAGACGGCAGCAACTTTATCCACTCCTCACACACTTCACCAGAACCTCTTTCCTCTCTCACTCCTTCCGTCTCATCCTCCACAATAAAAGCACCAAACACATACACAGGAACACTGCTTCCTAGAGAGCTCTTAACATAGTCAACATAATAGCTTACAGTAGGATGGCTAACAAGCTGATTTCCCAAGATGTTGGAGTATATCTTCAAAATGATTAAATGCAAATTAAGATTCATATTTTTCAAATTTGGTCCAATATTTGGGAAATATCTCTCCATAGCAATGGCTGTTTACAGCTGATCACCCACTAACAGATGGAAATGACCAAACCTTAGACTAACAAGTGTTTGTCTCTGTAGCTGTGAAGATCAAGAAGACCCTGAAGAACCTGAACATGGTCCAGACTCAGGAGGCTGTGTTCAGCCTGGAGCTGACCCACGAGGACGTGAAGGGAGCGCAGTGGATCAAGAACGGCATTGAGCTGCAGTCCAGCGATAAATACGAGATCACAACCAAAGGCACGGTGCACGCCCTGAAAATCAAGAACTGCAGCACACACGACGAGTCTGTTTACTCATTCAAACTGGGAAAACTGTCAGCAAGCGCCAGGCTGAACGTTGAAAGTAAGAAACCACTGATTCTTTAACAAGTACAGGTCCAAAGAGAACAGATCATTTTAAACTGTAAAAATGTTTTTCCCCCACAGCCCTCAAGATCCTGAAGAAGCCAAAGGACGTGACATCGCTGTTGGGTGCGACTGCCATGTTTGAGGTGGGCATCTCGGAGGATGACATCCCGGTGATGTGGATGTTCAACAAAGTGGAGCTGAGGACCAACGGGAACTACAGGATGCTCTCTGAGAAGAAGACCCACAAGCTGATCGTCCAGGATGTGGACGACAGCAAAGCTGGAGAGTACACGGCGGTGGTGGGCCACCTCCAGTGCAGCGCTAGACTCATCGTCGAGTGTGAGTGTTAGCATAGCACGGCACATTAGCATAGCACACCTCATTACCATAGCATTTACATTAGCATAGCAGGACACATTGCATGAAAATTAATTGTTTGTAGGAATGTTAAGTTTGTTGGGCTGAGAGTTTTAAAGTATCCAATGCCAGTAAAGATTGGTACTTTACGTGACCTGAACCACTTTATTTGAATATCCTTAAAGCATTCATTAAATGGTGTTTGTCAGGTAACAGTGACCAAAGCTAAAAGCTAGCGTAATATTACGTATTTTAGAGAGTTAGATGTGAAACAAATACTCAACTAAAATAGCTAAATATATAAAAAAGCTACATCATGGATGTATAAAGACAAACGGATACAGCTTCATTCCTATTAACATTGGTCAGTGCCACATTAATTACTTCTGAGTATGAAATGATCCAGTTCTTCAGATGGTCTTGGGACCCATAGAGCAGGAGCACTAGCTTTAGCCCCACCTCCAAGCCCTTGGTTCAGCCTTTTGTACGTTTTTCCAAATGAAACTTTTAGTTAAGTAGTTTACGTAACACAGCTAACAATTATTTTTATGAAACACAAACATCTCACTCTCAGTGATAGAATATCTTCTCCCTGTACTGACCTCATGGAGGAACCACCCTGACTGTTCATATTTGGATGAAATGTATTGACACTGACATTTTCTCTTCAGCCCTGCGAGTCACCAAACCCCTAAAAAGCGTCAAAGTCCCAGAGACCCAGGTGGCCACGTTGGAGTGCGAGGTTTCTCACTTCAACGTGCCGTCCACCTGGCTGAGAGATGGCGTGGAGATCGAGATGAGCGAGAAGTTCAGGATCGTGGTTCAGGGAAAACTGCACCAGCTGAAGATCATGAACACCAGCAGGGACGACTCTGCAGAGTACACCTTCGTCTGTGGGAACGACCGAGTGTCTGCAACGGTCACCGTCAGCTGTAAGCTATTTTCTTTAGCTACCGTCACTGATGGCAACATCACATTCATTGTAGTTAAAGGCATTGTTTACAGTGTTTCCAGAGGAACGTTCACCAATACCTTTTAGTTTCAGTGAACTTACCATCAGTTTTGTTGTTGTTTACCAGCTATCCTCATCACAACGATGCTGCAGAACCTGAAAGCTCAGGAGAAAGACACAGTCACATTCGAGGTGAACGTTAACTACGAGGGCATCACGTACAAATGGCTGAAGAACAGCGTGGAGATCCGGTCCACGGACAGATGCCAGGCTCGCTGCAAACAGCTCAGTCACACTCTGAGCATCAGGAACGTTCACTTTGGGGACAGCGCCGAGTACACCTTCATGTCCGGGTCTGCAGTCACTACAGCTAAACTCTATGTTGAGGGTAAGACTTGCATTGTGATTCAACCTTTTTCCTTTTAGCTCAGGTTGGGTCTCCACCGACTCCTGATGAAAACGGGTGCTAGCGGCTCCACTTTCTAAACCAGTTAGTCTCCAACTGAGCCTGTCTGCTGTTTGGTGGTAGAACCCCCCCCCCCCCCCCCCCAACGACCAATAGAGCCTCCCTAAAGACCAGTAGACCCTCCCTAAAGACCAGTAGACCCTCCCCAATGACCAGTAGACCCTCCCCAATGACCAGTAGACCCTCCCTAAAGATCAGTAGACCCACCCCAAAGACCAGTAGACCCTCCCTAAAGACCAGTAGACCCTCCCCAATGACAAATAGACTCTCCCCAAAGACCAGTAGACCCTCCCCAATGACCAGTAAACTCTCTCCAAAGACCCTTAGAACGCCCCCAATGACCAGTAGAACCTCCTGAAGGACAAGTAGAGCCTCCCGAAGAATAAAATCTCATCTCATCTCATCTCATCTACACAACCCCTTTTGATTGATGCCACTGTTTTTTTCGCTGCAGCCCGCGTGGTTGAATTTACCAAAGACCTGAAGGGCCTGAAGATCACCGAGAAGAAGAGAGCGACTTTTGAATGTGAGGTTTCTGAACCGAACATCCAGGTGATCTGGATGAAGGACGGTCAGGAGCTGGAGATGTCCGACAGGTACAGCAGCTCGTATTCAGCTGTTAAAACACTCTTATTAATTAAACCAATATATCAAGAAAATGAATAAATGCAGAAAATCTCCTCTCTTTTTTCTGCAGATATAAAATGACCTCAGATAAGTTCGTGCATCGCTTGATTCTGCCGTTGGTTCGCCTGTCCGATGCCGGTGAATACACCGCTGTGGCTGGGTCGAGCATGTCCAAGGGCAACCTGGTAGTGGAAGGACGAGACATCAAGATCTCAGAGCCCCCTAACCGGCATATCACCGTGAGTTCTTATTATGATCTTTGCACAAATGTTTAAAATCACTTCGTTTCACAGATTTCTCGCCATAAACTCATTTAGATTTTAACCACACTGCTGATAATTTCCTGCAGTTATTATGTGTTTTACATTCTTCTGATGTTTGATTTTAATGTTCATTAGTTTATGTAGTAGTTTCCTGTAAAAGTTCTCTACCTTTGAGGCAACCAGTAAACATTTTATCTTCTAAAAATATAGAGTTCTGGGAGGTTCCTGATCGTATTTTTCCAGCAAGAATTTATGAGAAATACTAGAACTCGAACTCCCGGTATTCAGACGCACCTTTCCTCTGTCTTTGCAGGTCGTTGAGAAACAAAGAGCGACCTTCGAGTTCAATGTGAACGAGGACGACGTGGACGGTCGCTGGCTGAGGAACGGGGTGGAGATCCAGTTCTCGGTGGAGGAGAGGTTCAACTACGCCACCATCAGGAAGCTGCACCGCCTCACCATCTCTGAGACCTACCGGAGCGACGCCGGAGAGTACACCTTCTTCGCCGGCAAGAACCGGAGCACCATGAACCTCCTCGTCAGACGTAAGAGACCTGCTGACCAGACACTTCTCTCTTGTAGTAGTTTGACCTAAGATGTCTTCTGAAAATGAATTTCACTGTCAACAATTCACAAACCGTCAGAAGATGAGTGAAATCAAAGTTCTGGTGATGAAGTAATTAATAATGACATTATCATATTTAAATGACGTTATTAATGTTTAACCTCTTTCATCAGCACAAACCTGAAAATCAATACTGTCCTTTATTGACTTATTGGTTTAATGTTCAACTCGAACACTTTTTCTTTTCTTTTTTAAGAGAAAAGTTTCACGAAAGAAAGTTTCATCTTTATTATGATTTATTGTTTATAATATTTTTAAATAATGCTAGAATTTAAGGGAACGCCTTTGATTAAATTGTAAAATACTACAGTCTGTAATTTCCTAATTATTCTTGGTTCTTATTCCCGGAGTAGTGAACCTGAGGAACGAGCTCACAAATGGAGATGAACATTTAAGAACTGTAGGAATTCATGTTCCTGTTGCTGACAACGATTAGAGTACTTCTGCAGTTTAACCTTCTTCTGCTGTCATCAGTACCGGAGCCTCCTCAGATCGTCCGGCAGATTCAGGCCCAGACGGCAACGTCGGGTCGGTCGGTCCGTTTCTCGGTGCAGGTGAGCGGCCTCCCGAAGCCCCAGGTGTCCTGGTACAAAGACTCTCAGGCTCTGTCCACCAGCTACAAGTGCAAGTTCCTCCACGATGAAGACGAGCACACGCTGCTGCTGCTGGAAGTCTTCCCCGAGGACGCCGCCGTCTACAACTGTGAGGCCAAGAATGACTACGGAGAGGCCACAAGCTCCGCCCCTCTCACTGTGGAAGGTACGTTTATTCAGAGGAAGACGTTACGCTCTGTTTCACTTTTTAATTTTAGGCTTTCCTTCACATTATGACGTGCAAATTCATTTTAAAAGCTGGTTTATGGACCAAAATAAAGACAAATTGAATCTAACATTAAATGAAACAAACTATTATTAACATACAGCACAAACAGTGTTAGACATTAAAGTGAAGGATGACACAGAATCAAATAATAAATGAATAATACATTATTTCCTGTTTTTATAACTCTGAGGCTTTCTAACACTTGTATATTTATCAGTTAACCAACAGGTGCTCCAGAGAGAGTAAAGATGAGAACACTATGTTAACATTCAGTGAACAATGAGATGCTGCTACCAAAGTCATGTCGGCTTTAGCAGAACTTTAGCCGTGAATCAACCGAGCTGATAGACTGAAACACCGAGACGTGTCGTCACGTTGACTTGTCTTCTATAAGAGATTACAGACGGCTTTAAGACGAACCGAGACCTTTATTCTTAAACGCCAACGGACCAAAAGGACTTCTGGTCAAGAAAAGAAAAGCCCAGTTCAGGTTCAGAGACTCTTCACTTGAAAGCTAACGTAGACTATAACCTGTTGCTCAAATGGGACATTTAACTTTTGGGGTTCCTGCAAATGTTTCATTATATATTCATGGGCATTTCTGTAAACCATGTCAAAAGTCAGATTCCAGTTTTGACGCTTTGTGTTTTGGTTCCATTCATTATTTTTTTGGATTTAATGTTTTCAAATATAAAAGATATGTTCATCTTATTTGCACAAAAGGCCCAATGTTACGTCAGCCTCCAGACATGTAGTAGTTCATCCTGATTGGTTAAAGATGCCGTCATTGATTCTGTGTTGGTCGTCTTGTCTGTCTAACAGTTCCCGAGGTGGTTGAAACCGTGGCTCGGGTGTCGGCTCCGGTCCTCATCGCTCCCATGCGGGACATCCTGGTCTCAGAGGGACACCCGGCCCAGTTCCAGTGCACCGTCTCTGGGGAAGGTAGTGACCACCGCTCGCCTCCTCTGGTTGTTGGTCTGAAGAAGAAATACAGAAGTTTAGATACTCGTTAACCTTAAACGCTCAGAGAGCTCACATATTATATGATATTTGTGGTATTACTTGCAGTGATTCCATATTCAAACACGTGACATGATCCTGACTTTAACTGTTTGTCTCCAGATCTGCAGATTTCTTGGTTCTGTGGCGACAGAGAGGTCCGACAGGCGGACGTCTTCAGGATGTCTCACTACGGTGAAACCTGCCAGCTGGACATTTCCAGAGTTCTCCTGCACCATAAGGGAGACTACTCGTGTGCTGTCAGTAATGCGGCAGGAATGGTCACATGTGCTGCGACTTTGAATATCGACGGTGAGTAATTCAGAGGTTCAGATCTCTATTAGCACCGCATGTGCTTCAGGTGTCAAACTAGGATCTTCTCTGGAGATAGGTCTTACTTGAGGAGGCTCTGACTGTCCGCTAAACACCTGACTTGTTAAATTGACACTATGCAGGTAAAATAAATCCTCTTAAAGTCTGTTTTCATTTGGAAACAGAACCTGGAATTCTCCATTAGCCGGGTAGCTAACGGTGGCGCTGCTCATCAACAAAGTGTAACTGATTTGACTCCAGAGATTGTGGGAACAGAATGAAAGCATCTGATCTGTAACTGCAGAGTCTCTGTGTCCCTCCAGAGAGGAAGCCATCAACACCTGTCAAATGTACAGTGAAGCATGCTTTGGCACAAAGAAAGCATCTTTAACAAGAAGCAGCATGGCTCATGGAGCAAGGGGCGAGGTGTCAGTCCTGTGTGTTCGTCTGCTGCTTTAGATGATGCCACTTTGTTCCGTCTCTTACAGAGTCTGGGGATTAAATATCAGAGTTTAGCCTAGCTTAGTTTAGCACAAAGACTGAAAGCAGGGGGAAACTTATAGCTTCGTTAGAACTAAAGAAAGTTTACTCATTTACAGACATAATAATCACAAGAGAACAATGCTAATATCATCAATATTACCATCAATAATGTCAAACATTTATTCTGGATATTGACTTCCTGAAATCCTAAAAACAACTTTTAACTGTCTTCACATCTGAATCTGGCGGTAAACACACATTGTATTTGAGTAGTTGTATATATTCATTAGTCTGAGTTAGCTGTTAGCTGTTAGCTGATCTACATCTCTGAACTCATAATGAAACTCGTCTTCAGCTTTTGGTTGCTACTTCTACTAGTTTCCTCCTGTTGTTGTGCTCCTGTCTGTTCAAACTGATTTCAATTGAAGAGACTTTTCTGTCTCTGCATGTCGACAACATCTTTGTGCGACCGGCCTTCAGAAAGTCTTCTACATTCTCTTTTTGACCACAAACAGTTAAACGATCTGTTCCTTGTTTCTGTGGGCATGCAGCACAAACATATATACGATAACTATAACATGAGTGAGAGGAGCTGTCTTTGTGTCGCTGCTGTCGTGACGTCCTCACCGTGAGCTCAGCTGTGAATCCTCCAGGTTTCTCCAGGTGAAGCATAACTCTTCTCTTCCTACATGAAGAGCTCTTAAGTGATGAATCTTTATTTCAGAGGAATGCAGCATGCTCAAAACATGGAGCTGAACTTTGGAAATCTAGCTTTCTGGGTTCCTCGTGCTCGAGCACTGATTTTATGTCGAGCTTGCATGATTGAATCGGGAAAGCAGCCACTGTCCTCTACCTCACTGATCAGACTGATGCTCAACGCTCCACTCCAGCTGCACTCTTGGCAAAACAAGCTGTAACCTGAAGAAGTCACCAGAATGATGTGTTGACCTAACTCTTCTACTCTTTCTTACTGCCCAGATGACAAATCCATAGCTAGTGTGTGGAGCACTGGGGCTGAGGCTAAAGTAAGTCAGCTGAAGGCTCACTCAGAGACCTTCGGCTCTCTGTCCGTGGGACAAACGGAGTTTTCTGAGAGTTCCTCCATGTCTTGGAGGACGGTTGAGGTTCAGATGGAGAGCGTGAGCTCCGTGGAGACGACCTCCCAGAGCAGCTTTGATATCAAACTCTCAGCCAGCCCCAAACTGCTGATGGAAATGAGCGACGTCCGGGTGAAAAGCGGCGAGAAGGCGGAGTTCAGCTGCTCGTTCGACGGACGGCCCTTCACCAGGGTGGAATGGGATCATAACGGCCATAGTCTGGCGGACACGGAGCGGTTGAGGAGCTCCGAGACCGAGGGCCTGTTGTCCCTGGTCATCTGGGGTGTTGGCGTGGCGGACCAGGGTTTGTACTGCTGCACCGCCACCAACCAGCACGGACAGAACAGCTCCTCCGCCCAGCTCACTGTTGAAGGTTAATCTTTCTTTCTGTTTCTCCATCTGGTCCATCCACCTCTTCATGCTTGGTCCCCTCCCCTCATATTTAATATTTAGCCTGTAACCCGTTAGAATGTAATGGAATAACCCGCTCTCGTCTAGTTGACCCTCTCTTCCTGCTGCTGCCTCTCTAACCCCATCCATCCATCCTACTAACCCCTTGAGTGTTTAGAGTCGTAGCCTTATACGCTCTGACCCCTAATTACTCTCCCTAACTTTATCCTCACCCAGCCAAAGAAGTGAATCTCAAAGCAGAAACCCCAATCCCTACTGATTCTGTGCGTAAAGTGTCTCAGACAGACACGGGGACCGCTAGAGGTCCTCCGGACCGAGACCAGCAGGAGACGGCGGAGAAGCCGGGACCGTCTCCTCCATCTTCCCAGAGACCCCACAGTCTCATCAGCCACCTGTACTTCCCTGATGTCCCGCCTCATGACAAGCGAGGCCTCTCCAGCTGCCCCGAGTTCCTGATCAAACTCCCCCCCGAGCTGCTGGTCCGAACCAGAGACAGCAGCTCCTTGTGTTGCGTACTGAAGGGGGTCCCCACGCCATTCGTCATTTGGCTTAACAATCGGTTGAATGTTGAGGATTCTGTGTCTTACTCTCTGAAACACGACGGCCCCCTGTGCTGCGTAAATGTTAACAATGTGGGACCCGGACAAGGGGGCTCTTACTCTTGCAAAAATGTCAACTCAGCCGGGGATGCTGAGTGCAGCGCGGTGACGACAGGTTGGCATCTGCATGCTTTTGGTCCTTCTGCTCGCTCGGGCTTATTGTCGGCCCAACCACTCATTTTCACTGCTTCCCCACCCAGCCAGCAGAGGCACACTTCTTCTTCTTCTGCAGGTTTAACCGCTGTGTTTAGGAGAGGATGCTCACCTCTGTGTCCTGCTTTACTGACTAAAAACATGGACAGAGTTTAAGAGATGACTCATATCACTGAGCATTTTCCAAAAAACAGCCAGCGGTTCTGCACACTTAAGACCAAAAGGACGCATGAACTTCAGTTAGAAGGAGAAAAAACACACAAATACACAGTTGATATGGATGCACGACCTGTCACTGACCCTAACAGTCTTGCACCATATGAAACTTTATGTTCAGTTTTGAGTGTGTTTTTTAATTCATAAACGTTTGTGTCTTTACAGTGACGACAGCGGACCAGGACCGTGTGATTCAGGTCCAGCAGGCCGTCAAAGGTAGATATTGTCTTTGTCCATCATGTATATACTGTAGAGTGCAAACAAGATCAAAACAAGTGTTATAAAACAGTAACAAATATGAACTAAGTATAAAAGTAAAAATCTACACTAACTCAAATATAACTATAACTATTATATATACAGGCAGAATGTTTTACTGGTATTTAGATTTACTTCCAATTCCAAATTATAAATGCTTCTACAAATTATTTTACAAATTAAAATATACAATATTTGACTGAATATATGTTTGACAATGTTTATTTTAAACATTTTTATGAACTTTGAACTGCATCCGTTTTCATAAGTAGAAAGAGTTTGTCTTCACATGACATTTAGAAGAATGTGAGACTGAAATCATAAAAACAGTTTCTGTTCAAAGATGGTTTTGGAGTCAGATTTTGTGTTTTACCTTCCAGAATCTTAAAATCGAATGTGAAGTGAATGGACTCTGGGGTGAATTGGCTAAAACAGTATTGATTGATTGATTTCCCTTGCAGTGGAATATACCTGTAGATGCATAAGTCATTCTGTTTTCAGTTGGAGTGTCTGTCTGACTGTGATTATTCCACTCAGCCTTTTCTAGCTCAACCATCACAGTGGAAGAGGAAACCCAGGACTCGTACTACACCGGTCTACAGTTATTAGATAAAACCAGAACACTTGAACTTAAGCCAGAGTCCAAACGCTTCTCCAGCACTTTGGTGAAGAAAAAAGAAAAACCAGTTTTCCTCAGCAAACTCTCTCCAGCAGCTGTGACTGTCGGAGAAACTGCGACGTTTACCGTCACAGTTTCCGGGTTCCCTAAACCCACCGTTCAGTGGTTCCACAACGGGCAGACGATAGCCAGTTCTTCTGTTTACACATTTGTTCACGAGCGAGATGAGTACACTTTAGTCATTCACAAAGTTCAGAGGGAGTCTGAAGGAGAGTACTCCTGCACTGTCAGCAATAGATTTGGCCATTCAACCTGCACCTCATATTTGCATGTTGAGGTGAAGGAGCCAGAAAAGGAGGAACAAGTTGACAGGAGGACATTTGTCTCAACTGGCAAACCCCCAGAATTCACTAAAACTATTGAGTGTCTTCAGTTATGTGAGGGAGGTCAGGCTTTCTTCAGGTACGCGGTGACCGGAGATCCTCTTCCTGAGGTTCAGTGGCTCAAAGGCAGCTTACACATTCAGCCCAGTGGGTTCTGGATCATTGTGAACAACCCAGATGGATCAGGCTTTATTAATATTCAGAGTGTTAAACAAGAGCACAGTGGTGTGTACACGTGTAAGGCCTCCAACCAACACGGGGAAGCCTCCTGTAGCGCCGAACTGCTGGTGGTCAGTGAGAAAGTCCAGGAAGAGCAGACGTTAGTTAAGAAAACAAAAGGTTTGAAAATATCCATGACCGAACAAAACACCGAATCCAGATTATACCAGAAAAGAACTCTGTCTGATCAGATGATTTACACCATCAGCACTCAGGACCGGCAGATTATCCCCAGCGAGGAGGTGGGAGCCCTCCGAGAGCTCGACATCTCGGCAGCCACCCTCCATCGAGAGCAGCTCACCCACCAGGCTGCGGTGCTGCAGGCTCATGAGATACAGGAGAGGGTTTCTTTGGCTCCCACTCATCCACCTCAGGTCTCAGCCGTTCCAATGAAACAGCTTCATATGGCCACTTTCTTATCTTCGGTCCAGGAGAGACAAAAGATCACTGAGCAGCACTCCGTACGCATTCTCAGTCCTGAGATTGTAGAACTCCAGTTCGTCAAAGAGCAGCCGCCTAAACTCGTGTCAGCCACGTCTGAAGAGGTCGTTCCACTCGGCATGGTGAGGGCCGAGGCCATGACGGACTGGGCCCCGGAGCACGGGAACACCTTGAATGAACCCAGGCAGCTTGTTAGTGGTCACCAAGTAGAGTCCAGTCTGCTTATCCTTGATGCAACTTCAGGTGTTGCCCACAGGCCCGAGGAAGAGAGGAGTTTTAGGGTCAAAGAGGGGGTTAAGATTTTATACTCGGCTCAGTCTGCAGGACAACTGCCGATCACAGAAAGACACTCTGAGCCTCTGCCACCTTTAGATGCAGCCACTCAGCCCCTGATTGAGAAAGAGCAATCCAAACCAGTAGTAGCACCAGTTAGTGAAAATAGAATGGCTTTATCCAAAGAGCAGACGTTTGAAATACACCGACCAGAGCAGGAGAGTATCTCCCCACAAAAAGACATCTTTTATAAGTCAGCTATAACCACTGAGGAGAAATACGAACTCCAAGGTGAACAGACAGGACAGCTGCCGAGTGTAGCATCTTCTGTGTGTGTGCAGCCTCAGCAAGAAGGGGAAAGACTCCTGAATCTGCAGGTTATCAGTGATCAGGATGTTTTACAGTCGGAGGGAAGGTTCAGCAGTGAGAACGCTTCCACAGAGCAGGCCGAGGCCAGGAAGAGTCCCACTTTGTTGCATTCGGTGACTCAAGAAGAGCAAAGAACTACGGTTTGCGAGGCAACCTCAGAGTTCTCAGTAAAGACCGAAGCCACGTCGGTTCAGTCGAAGAAAGAGTTAGCGCCGACAAAATACCTTCAGTCAGTTCATTCGGTATCAGTTCTACCAAAGGAAGGGATACTTACCATCACTAAACCTGACCAACAGATGGCAAAGCAGAAACAGGAAAAGGCTAGAAAGCATGCAGCTACCTCAGAAGAGAGAAGGGAGATCACAGCAGATTATCACAGAGAACTCGATGTGTCGGTGACCGGGGTTCAGTCGCAGCTTCGCACTGAGCCAAAGCCTTCCAGTATCCTCACCGTCTCTTTCCAGACGATGCAGTTGCAGAAGGAGATGCCTTTTGTTGGCGACGTCAGGCAGCAGCAAGCGCTGGTCCAGAAAGAGGACTACTGGAACATCATGCATTCTTTGAATGTTACGGACACTCACAGCCTCGAGGAGGGTCACACCAGTAACCTAAAAACCGATGAGAAATTCAAGTCTGAGACAAAAGTTGAGCCTAAAATACCCAAAAGAACCGTTTTTATAGAGGAGAAGGCAGTTGCCAATGAGAGCTGTACTATCTTAGAAACCGCTGAGCAGGACTTTGCAGTCCAGATCCAGGAAGGCCAGACAGTCCGGCAGTCGGTGCTGCTTGAAGAAAAGCAGATCATTATGGGAGAGCAGTCGAGTGAGATACACAAATGTGAGGGCTCGACTGTCGGCATCGTGACGCAGCCTAAAGAAGTTCTGTTTGTTCACGAGTCTCAGGACACTCTGACTCTTCCTAAAGAACTCAACTTTGTGATTCAGATTCCCAAATCGTCCAGTGTGAACATCCGGCGTCAGCTCAGAGCCGCTCTTCAGTCCGCTGTGGCCAGTGATCAACCAGTGTTACTGGCCGATGTCATAGGAGGGTTACAGGCAGTGGAGGTTCAGGAGGTGAAGGTTCAAAGAGAGCCCAGACGGGCCACGTCCACATACCTGATCACAACCCCAGGAGCCCCCATGGAGATCACTCTGTCTTTTGAAGGTGAATACCCTCAGACAGCTGACCTCAGGTCTGAACTCCAGGTAGCTCTGCATGCAATGGTTTTCCAGGAGCAGCAGAGTCTTACGTTGGAGCAAGTAGGCACCATGCAGATGGACAAGCCTCAGAGAGCACTGCTCAGCTCGGCCCCCTCCAAAGAGGTGCTGTCGTCTGTGGTGGACACCAAGATGGTGGCCGAGAGTGCAGTTGGGTTTCCTCCTGCTGAATCTCAGTCTGCAGCCGTCAAAACCGAAGCCAGGACTTCCTTCCAAAGCGCATCAGTTCAGAGCCGGTCTGACATCCATGAGTCTCGGCAGGTGAGCATGAAGACAGTCCGGTCCGAGAGGAATGCCAGCACTGCTGAAGTGACCACCACAGTTCCTGTGGGTCACGTTCCCGTTGAGCAATCTGTGGGCATTGTTGTCCACAGAGAAACCAGAGAGGAGTATCTCTCGGAGGCGATCATGATCAGCGAGTCCTCCGACAGTCTGATAGATTATCCTGCTGTCGTTGATTCTCTGGAAGACGTTTGCATTGAGGAAAAGAGCGAGGCCGTTTTTACTGCCACCATTAAGTACGTCACCAAAGCTAACTGGTTTTTCAACGGCCAGTTGGTGAAATCTGGCAAAGAGTTCAAGTGTTCTAAAGACCACGACACACACACACTAGTTATCGACAAAGTTGTGAAAGAGAAGCATCAAGGAGAATATGTCTGCGAGGCTGAGAATGAAGCCGGCAAGACGACGACATCTGCACGACTCACTGTGGTCTCAAGAGGTTTGATGATGGACAATTCTTTGATATCATCAACTAACTTCACACATTAGTGGAATCCTGTTGTCTGCAAACCTCGAACATAACTCAAACTTTAAATGAACTTAGGATGGAATTCATGTGTTAAATACTATTTTAAGACTAAAATGAAATGTCTTTGCATATTTTTAAAGCTAAATTAAATTTGGATGTTTGAGCTTTTCACCAGACAGCAGTGACATCCTCACTTTTCCTTCAAGTTCATCCATTCCTCCACATGCATATCACCTCTTCATCCATTCCTTTGTCCTTTTAAAGAATCACCTTTGACTTCATATCTTTAGATATCCATCACTTCTCCTTCCTGCTTCTTCTTTGCATGCTTTCTCTCCTCTTCTTATCACTCTAAAACCATTTGTCTCCTCCACAGTCACAACAGGATAACTTTGTGTGTCACTTTCCATCCCAGGTTCACTACTCATCTCCACCTCCAGCAGAAACATTCCATGTTACTTCCATTTCAACTACTTCTGTTTATTAACTTTGTCGTTTTTTTAACTTTCTTTCTCTCCAAAACACGCAGTGAAACCTGTGTTCAGGCACAGAATTTTTCCCCTGGAGATCAACATTGGCAAGACGGCCAAATTTGAATGTGAAACTGAGGACGCTCCTAATGTGAGCTTCAAGTGGTTCAAAGATGGAACCCAAATCAAAGAGGGCGATAAATACAGGATGATCAGTCGCTTCAGTGCTTCCTCTCTGGAGCTCCTGAGCCCAAACAAGGAGGACAGGGGCGAATACACCTGCAAGGCGTCCAATCAGCACGGCAGTGACGAATGCTCCGCCTCTCTCAGCGTAACGGGTAAGAGCGACGCATCTTTCCTTTCTATGCTGCTTGAGTTGGGAGCTGTTAATCTAGAACTGTTGTTGACTTCTTTTTCCTTCGTAGAATCATCTGTTGCTGCTTGAAACTTTACGTTTAATTTGCTTAATTGTGAATTATTTGGGTTTTTTTGCCGCCGGTATCTCTTTGGTTAAAGTAAATCAACGGGGTACAACATTTGACCACTAATGTTTTTCTGTTCTTCTTAATTCTTATAGAGCAATGCCCTCCTGCCTTTATCACTAAACCTGACCCTCAGACTATGTATGCTGGAAAGAGGGCAATAATACAGTGTGTGATATCAGGATCTGCTCCACTGAATGTTGTCTGGCTCAAAGACAACCAGGCCTTACCCAGAGAGCCTGCACACTACCAAACCTCTTGTGACAAGAATAAGCACATTCTTGAGATTACCAAAGTCCATCCGGCTGACGGGGGGCTTTATGTGTGCAAAGTGTCTAATAATATTGGCACAACGGAGTGCAGCACGGAGCTGCGGGTCATTGATAAGCCCAACTTCGTGAAGCCCCTGGGTCCGGTGGCGGCCGTGGTCGGAGCTCCTCTGCAGCTGCAGTGTCTGGTGGATGAGGACACTGGAGTAACTGTCTCCTGGACCAGAGATGGTAGAAAGGTCCACCAGTCTCCAGACTGTAAACTGTCCTTTGAGGATAAGACAGTTGCTCTTGATATCCTAAAGACCACACTGAAAGACTGTGGAAACTATGTGTGTACGGTGACTAATGCCGCTGGGAGTGCAACTTGCTCCACCTCGGTGAAGGTTCAAGGTAAGAGCTGTCTAGTTCACTTTCTTGGCTGCTGCAGCATTTGTAGCGGTTGCAAATCTGCAGGACTGAAAATGAACATAATTGTATTCTGTGGTGTCTAATTAAGGTGTACATCTTTAATCTCTTCTCTTTCAATGCTGTTTTTTTATTTTTATTGAAATGACTCTTTTAAACCACACACCTCTCCAGAGCCGCCGGTCTTTGTGAAGAGGCTGGAAGCCTCCACAGTCTGGAAGCAGGGCAGCACTGCATGGCTGCAATGCACCGTCAAAGGATCCCCTGAACTCCACACCAGCTGGTTCTTTAACAACAGCGAGGTGTCTGCTGGTGGCAGATATGACATCAGTCTGAAGGACGGAGTCACAACTCTTGAGATAAAGGATGTCATGTTGAGTGACAGTGGAAACTTTACCTGTGAGGTGCTTAATGAGTCTGGGTGTGAAAGCTGCAGCACTAAAGCAACAGTGAAAGGTGTGTAGACTTAGATTATTTTAGTACAGAGCCAAATATTCAGACAGGACAAAAACCGGTCTAACCGAGCTATGTGTTCCCCTTTAGAACCGCCGTCTTTCAGGAAGGAGTTAATCTCCTTAGAGGCGGTCAGAGGATCGGTAGCCGTTTTGGAGTGTGAGATTTCAGGCTCTGTGCCGTTCGAGGTGACCTGGAAAAAGAATAAGAAACATCTGTCAGCAGATAAGAAGTACAGGATCGTGTCTCTGGGATATCTGAGCTCTCTGGAGATCCACTCATTTGAGAGCGCTGACGCTGGTGAATACGAATGTGTCGTATCCAATGAGGTTGGGTCAGTAACCTCAAAGTCATTGGCTAAACAGAGAGGTTAGTGTTAACAGGAACACAGGACACATGTTCTCTATTAGTGCTGTTCTCCTCTAGGCTGCTGTTTACATCATTATCACTGTTATTTCAGAGCCGCCTATGTTCTCAAAGAGGGTTGAGAGTGCGACAGCAGTGTTGGGAAACACAGTGAAACTACAGGGAACCATTAAGGGCTCGGCTCCCATCTCTGTTAAATGGACGAAAGACTCTGAGCTGCTCAGAGATGACGATCCAAACGTCAAAATGACATTCGTGAACAACATTGCTGTCATTTCCTTCTCATCCGTTGAGATAAAGCACGGCGGCAAGTACACTTGCCTCGCCAACAACGAGGCGGGACAGCAGAAATGTGAAGCTGTGTTAACAGTTCAAGGTCAGAACACATTCATATTTGTTGGAAACATTTCTAAAATGCAGATGTAGATGTTTCTGAACTCTAAAAATCTCATGTTGTATTATAGAACCGGCTAAGATCTTAGAGAAAGCAGAGTCCATCAGTGTGACTGCAGGATATTCTGCCACGTTGGAGTGCACGATCTCTGGAAGCCCAGACCTCAAAGTGAAGTGGTTTAAAGACGGCAAAGAGATGATCAGTGGCCGTAAATATAAGATGACTGTGAAGGAGAACACTGCCATCCTAAAGATCCTCTCAGCAGATAAAGGAGACACTTCAGAGTACAACATGGAGGTGTCCAATAAAGTTGGGAAAGACCAGTGCACGTGCTCGGTCACCGTTATAGGTCAGTTTGAGCCCAGAATACAGTTTCAATAGCAACTTAGAGATGTGGCCGTTGGTTTATGTTTGATATATTTCCTCACACAGATCGTGCAGTTCCACCGTCCTTCACCAGAACTCTAAAAAAAGAGGATGGGAGGGTTGGTAGTAATGTAACCTTGGAATGCAGAGTTGCTGGATCTCAGCCGATGGTCGTTTCTTGGTACAAAGACCAGAAACAAATCCACAGCAATGGCAAATATAAGCTTGATTTCAGTGAGATTACAGCCTCCCTCACCATAAGTGGCCTGGAGCAAAGCGATGGTGGAGTTTATACCTGCCGGGCCTCTAACGATGCCGGAGAAAAAGACACGAGTGGTTCTTTGTCCGTCAAAGGTCAGAGGAGTTGAAATACTTTACCTTTAACCTGAGATCAAACAGGACTCTAACAGTTATTGATAGGCTTTGAACATGAATGCTGTTTTTCTTCCCAAATAACTCCAGAACCTCCGGTCTTCACGGTGAAACCTCAATCCCAGGATGCCTCACCGGGATCAAATGTGGTCATAAAATCCGCCTTTACAGGATCAGCTCCTCTGGTTGTGAAATGGTTCAGAGAGGAGAGCGAGATTTTCACTCGAGGAAAGTGTTTCATAAAGAAAGACGCCTCTTCAAGCTCTTTGGAGCTTAACTCTGTGAAACCCAGTGACTCCTCTAAATACACATGCCAAGTGTCCAACGATGCTGGGAAGGTGGATTGCACCGCAGTCCTCTTTGTGAAAGGTGCTGTTTCATTCTTTCTTTTTAAAAAGTGATATGCTGAACTGTTGTTTTCTTTATTTAAACTCTTGTGTTTCCTGTAACTGTTCATTTACAGAAGCCCCAACATTTACAATGAAGCTTGAGCCTTCACAGCTGCTGAAAACTGGACAACCTCTCAAGTTGTCCTGCAAAGTGCAGGGAACCCCTGTTATTAGCATCAAGTGGTTCATAAACGGCTCAGAAATCTCTTCAGACCTCAAACACTCGATGTCCTTTGACGGCTCGATAGCGACTCTGGAGGTAGAGAAGTGCTCTGTGGAGGATAGTGGAGATTATGTCTGCATGGCGTCCAGCGAGGCCGGCAGAGACCAGAGCAGCTGCTCAGTAATGGTGAAAGGTTGGTCCAGTCTTCAGTAGTCCTCTAATCAAACTTTTGAGATGAAGTCTGGTCCCCATTGATCTTTAGCATGTTCAATGCTGCCCACATTAACAGGGAATCTTGGCGTTCTTGTCTCTCCACCAAACACAGAAGCCAGTGAGGGATCAAACACTTTTTTCACTTGTGACTTCTGTTAGTTCTTCAACCAAATCTCAACTACATTCAACATCACGCTAACTGGTTGATTCAACTTTTTGTTGGGAGAGAACGAAACTTAAAACCTACACAAGTTATACATACAAGTATAAAATATAGCAAAGCAAAGCAACTTGTGTTTGCATCACGTCAAACATACTAAAGAAAATAAGAGATGCGGAGATACAATCAAGATGCTTCCTGTCGTCCAAGTTCTAAGGATATGAAACAATCATATCTCGATCAGCTTCTACTCAATCATTTCTTCTACATTCAGTTAGTTTTCAGTGACAACATGATATCAACTTCTCCAATGTTCTCAGTCCTAAAGGTTATCGTTAAGTTCTAGAATTCACTTCTCAACAGAGACTTAACTTTGTAGACTGATGAGTGTGGAGCGTTTGAGATGTTTCAGCTCTGAGCAGCTAGAAGAACTCTGTGGACCAGACGGGCCTCATGAGACCAAAAGTCTCATTTAGCCTTCTATTGCCTTTAAATAACCTTTACTATCTTTGTTTTGTAGAGCCTCCAGTGTTTGTGAGGTCTTTCGAATCAGCTGAGCTTGTAAAAGGAGCCGACATTATCTTGGAAGGAACCGTTTCCGGTTCCCCTCCTTATGAAATCACTTACTTCCTCAACGCTAAACCGATCAGAAGCAGCAAAAAGCACAAGATCAGTGTTGAAAACGACACCGTCACTCTTCACGTCTCAAACTGTGAGAGTGGAGACGCTGGGACGTACCAATGCACTGTTGCAAACGATGTTGGGGAGACATCTTGTAATTGCCAGATTTCATTGAAAGGTTAGTTCAAGGACAGTTTAAAATACTGTCATCAAAGGGTATCTTTCTACATGTTGCCCCACTGCCGATACATCATTTTTTAATGCAAATTTCAGCTGTTTCATTTTGGGGCATTTTGGACAAATTCTTTTATGAGGAGATAAGGATGCTGCACGTGCTTTTCTTTTCATTGCACAGCCATTAGATCAGGGAAATAAAGATTTGCAATGTGGATCATCTGTGTTTGTGTAAATCCCCCTACAGCCTTCAGTCTGATTTGTGGTCTTCTCCCACTAGAACCTCCATCATTTGTCCAGAGACACGAGGATGTGTCCTGCATGGTGGGATCTGAGGTCTCTATGAAGTGTCTGTTGTCTGGATCACTTCCCATGACTCTCTCCTGGATCAAGGACGGTCATGAGCTCACAGAAGACGAGCACGTTAAGATGTCCTATGAAACCAAAAGTGCCGTGTTGAATTTGAAAAATGCTCAGTTAACACACGGCGGGAAATATGTGTGTCAGGCCCAGAACAAAGCCGGGACCCAGAGATGTGCCGCTGTGCTCGTAGTGACAGGTTTGTAGGAAGTTTGTCTCTTTGTCTCAACTGCTTTTGCTTTTATGTGAAACTTTGACGTTCTATCTGTCGCATTAACACTGTTAAGTGGTTAAGTGGTAGCAGCTAACTCAGTTTTGGACCTTTTTTGTGATCCCAGAGCCAGCAAATATTTCAGAACATGCAAAGTCCATCAGTGTAACAGAGGGCGACCCGGCCCGGCTTGAATGCAGATTCTCAGGCACCAAACCGCTCAAGTCCAGATGGATGAAGGCGGGAAAGGAGCTGACGTCGGGCCGGAGATACAAAGTACAGAGCGCCGACAGAAGCTCTGTACTCCAGATTATTAAAGTAGAGCAAAGCGACAGCGGTGAATACACCTTTGAAGTCTCAAACAATGCTGGGTGCAGTTCTTGTGAGGCAGCCATTTCTGTCTTAGGTCAGTTCATCCCAAAGATTCATGTCTTTTATAAGATCTTCTATTCTGTTCATACAACCAACTAAACGTGTTGTCTTTGCACTTTGTATATAACAGATCAGATTATCAAACCGTCTTTTACGAGAAAGCTGAAGCAGACGGAAGGTATCAAAGGATCATTTGCTCATCTGGAGTGTCTGGTATCCGGCTCCTTGCCGATAACCATACAATGGTACAAAGATGAGAAAGAGATCCAGACTGATGAGAAACACAAATGCACTTTCTTTGAGAATGTTGCTTTCCTGGAAATCTCTAATCTTGACAGTAAAGACAGCGGCAGCTATACCTGCATCGCTAAAAACAAAGCAGGAACCGTCCAGTGCTCTGGGAACGTGTTTGTCAAAGGTTTGTTTTTGGTATTTATCAGTAGGTGGATGTGTTTAATCAAAGTTTAGCTACACATCTTAAAGGATCTTTGTTATAGAAGCATTATTTCCTTTTGTTTCTCTTCCAGAACCACCATGCATTCTTGAAAAGCCTGATTCCATGAATGTCTTGCCTGGCTCCAAAGTCCAGTTGAACGTACTAGTCTCTGGCACGCCGCCACTGACCACCAAATGGTTTAAAAACAAGAAAGAGATTTTATCCAGTGCCGACTGCTCTGTGGTCAAAGACAACACCTCGAGCTCTCTGGAGCTCTTCTTTGCTAAAACCTCTGATTCTGGAGACTATGTCTGTGAAATCCAGAACGATGTGGGCTCCACTTCATGCCAGGCAACGCTCTTTGTCAAAGGTTAATATTGGTCTCTTGCCTTGGCCAGTTTTCTTTATCTTTTAGTGATCACCATACGTAAGTAACTTCTGTACGTATTTGTTCCAGAACCTCCTTTCTTCATGGAGAAACCTGAAGGTGTTTCAGTAGTAAAGGTCGGAGACAGCAAGGTGTTTGAGTGCAAGGTTGCTGGTTCTCCAGAGATCTCTGTGCGTTGGTTCAGAGACGGAGCTGAGATTCACCAAAGTGACAAACACATGATGTCGTTCATGAACTCTGTGGCCAACTTAGAGGTTTGTCAAGTCGGTGGAAATGACAGCGGGAAATACTTCTGCGAAGTCTGCAACGAAGCAGGAACAGAGAGTTGTACTGTTGAGCTAGAAGTGAAAGGTTGGTTTTCCTCTTCATGTTAACATCCTGTCAGAGACATACTTATAAATGTCATCACTAAAATGGGTCAGAAGCTGCTGTAGTTTGACGTTCATTCTTATTTCAGAGCCTCCTTTGTTCGCTGAAGAGCTGACGGCTCTCCAAGTCGTTGAAGGTTCCACCGCATCATTCTCTTCCAAAGTGGCAGGAAGTGCTCCGTTCAAGGTCACATGGTTCAAAGATAAAAAGCCAATCAAATCCAGCAAAAAGCATCTTGTTGAAAGTGAACATGTGAGCTTGAAAATCCAGGACTGTAAAGTGGGAGATGTTGGTACTTATGAGTGCGTGGTAGCCAACGAGGTGGGAAGTTGTACTGGCTTTGCATCTTTGTCTCTGAAAGGTTGGTTTGACTTCACACTGACATACATGAAGCACTGAACTCTCTCTGGTGTTTAAAACCACATCTTTTCTTTCTATTAGTTCCTCCAACGTTTGTTCAGAAGATAGAAAATGTCTCATCTGTTCTGGGAGCTGTTGCGGTCTTTCGCTGCTCCGTAGAAGGGTCTCTGCCTCTTTCTGTACAGTGGCAAAAAGACGAGAACTGGATCACTGAAGATCCAAAAGTTGAGAGAACGTTTGAGAACAAAGAGGCAACTCTCAGGATTCCTTCCTGTGAGGCGACGCACAGGGGGAAATACACCTGCCAGGTGGTAAATGAGGCCGGGCAGGACAAATGCACTGCCACCCTCGTAGTGCAAGGTACCCATCGTTCTTTATTACATTAAAGGTAGCTTTAATGCAATTACAAGTGCACTCACCTCTTCTTCTCGGTGTTGTAGAACCACCTAGGATCCAAGAGATGATGGAAGTAGTCAAAATGACCCGTGGAGACCCGGTTAGTCTCGAGTGCAGGCTAACTGGATCTTCTCAGATCAGGGTGAGATGGACTAAAGATGGCAAAGAGCTCCAGTCGAGCAGAAAACATCATCTCTGCTACGAGAACAACCTCAGCAGTCTGAACATAAAGTCCTCTCAGACCGAGGACAGCGGAGAGTACCTGTTTGAAGCCACAAACTCTGTGGGGACTTGCAGCTGTAAAGTCACGCTGGTTGTTTTAGGTTTGTAAGAATATTAACAGATCATTTAAGTTGTAGATTTGTGTATTTTCTTTGACTCTAATTATCTTTTGTCACTTTAAACAGAAGAAGTAATTCCTCCGACGTTCAGTCGGAAGTTAACAAACATTCAAGCGATTATGGGTTCAGTGGTGACCATGGAGTGCAAAGTGTCCGGTTCTCTTCCAATATCAGTTGAATGGAGCAAAGGGAAAGAAAAGATCACCAAGAGCTCCAAATATGAACTTGTGCACATTGAGAACTCCGTCTCTCTGGAGTTCAAACTGACTGAGGGTTGTGATACCGGAGAATACTCCTGTAAGGTCTCCAACGCAGCAGGCAGCTGTGTGTGCAGTGGAGTTCTCACAGCTAAAGGTCAGCATTCAAGCTGTTCATTTTGTTCAATTTTCACCTCAAAGGCTGTCGCTCATGTGTGGTAATCATTTATCTGTGTGGATTTTTTAGTGCCACCGAGATTCGTATCGGAGCCCGAGTCTCAGGCTGCTGTTCAGAAGTCTGCTGTGCTCTTCAGAAGTGTCTTTGAAGGAACGTCCCCATTTGTGGTGAAGTGGTTCAAGGATGACGTGGAACTCATCACGGGGCCGTCATGTACGATCCAACTGAAGGAATATTCTTCCTCTGTAGAGCTCCACTCAGTCGGGACTCGGCAATGTGGAATTTATTCGTGCCAAGTTTGCAACGAAGCCGGCGAAGTGAAAAGTGCAGCAGAGTTGTTGGTGAAAGGTTGGACTCTTCTTCTTTTTTGTCCTCCACTATCATGGTCACTCGGCTAACTCCATCTTTTTACTCCATTGTCACAGCTCTTCTGTCTGCATTTTTATTTTCTTAACATTTTCTTTTCTCACCAGGAATGTCTATGTTGTCTTCAGAGTCACCATCCTTACTTTGTTTCCGATAGTAACTTGATCTTGTTTTGACTTTGCAGAACCACCTCAGTTTATCCAGAGACTTCCTCCCACTACCTTTGTGAAGATCTGTGAGGGACACCGCTTTGAATGCAAAGCCACCGCCGCACACTCCCTCAATATGTGCTGGTACAAAAATGACCAAAAGATAAGCGACGGAGACAACTACAAAACAATGTTTGTTGACTCAACTGCGTACCTCCAGCTGAACTCCTCAAGGTTTGAGGATAATGGCGTCTACACCTGTGAGGCTCATAACGATGGTGGCAGTGCGATCTGCAGCACCGTTCTCACAGTTCAAGGTATCGAGGAGACGTCTTTGCAGCGTGTCGTTGGTGTTTTGTGGACTTTTCCACCTCTGAACTTGTGTAGCATGACAAAGTCTAAATTAAAATGCAGATTTAGGATTTTCCGTCTTGAGTTTGAGTGTTTTTGGAACCCTGTCTTAAAACTTCAGCATGGAATCCAACAGCTCCTTCTGTCTCAGTGGAAGACCAGATTCTCCTCCTATGTGTCGGACAGCATGAGTCTGAGTGTTCCCTCCTTTTCTAGACATATTTTTCCCTATTTTTGGAATGACCTTCAGTTTACCCTTTAGTACTCCTTTTACTTTATTCATTTCTCAGATTCTCTCCCACTAATGATCTTTCTGTCGACGTCTGGATGGATTATTCTAGCATGGACTGAACTTCAGCATGAAACTCGACAAGAATGTCTATCCCATGAAACTGCTTTCAGTTTGTTAACATACCTTTGATATATCTTCCAGAGTCCCCGTCCTTTATTAAAACTCCAAGTCCAGTAGAGGGCATTAAAGGGAAAGATGCCAGCCTACACTGTGAGGTGTCCGGCACTCAGCCTTTCCAGATTAACTGGTACAAAGACAATCGGCCGCTGAAGGAGAGCAGGAAGTATAAGATGGTCAGTGATGGTAGCTCTGTCACACTTCACATTATGAAACTGGAGCAAGACGACGCAGGTCTTTATGAGTGCAGAGTGTCAAACAACGTGGGAAGTGGAACCTGTCGCTCTACTGTTAGCCTAAAAGGTTGGTTTCAGAATCGGTGTCCGTCTCCTCAAAGCTTAGTCTTCTTGTGAAGACCTCTCCTCACCTCTGATCTTTCCATCACTGTACAGAACAACCAGCGTTTGTCAAGAAACTGTCCGACGCGTCGGTGACCTTCGGTCAACAGCTGACGCTGACGGCTACGGTGAAAGGCTCCGAGCCTCTGACTGTGTCCTGGGTTCAGGACAAGGATCACATCCTCAGAGATGGTGACAACAGGAAGATCACCTTTGAGAATAACATGGTCACCCTCATGGTGCCCGGAGCCGACTCCACCACAGCTGGTAGATACACCTGCCAGCTGAGGAACGACTCTGGAGTCGTGGAGTCTGTCTCCCAAGTCACCGTTCTAGGTTCGTAGAGCTCCACACTTTATAACGTTAGTGACAGTGTGAGGATTCGTTCAGCTTAATATCTTCTAATTTCCCCTAATTTCTAGAACCCGCTGCTATTGTGGATAGCCCCGAGTCCTTGAACGTGAAGTCAGGAGAAAACACAGCTCTTGACATCACGGTGTCTGGTTCACGAGAACTGAAGATGAAGTGGTTCAAGGATAACAAAGCACTGTCTACTGGTGCCAAGTACCAGATGTCCTTCACAAAGAAGGTTGCCTCCCTGAAAATCCGCTCTGCTGATAAAGCAGACGCTGGAGAATACAAGCTCGTGGTTACAAACCATGTCGGCACAGCCACTTGCAAAACTACGCTCTCTGTCTCAGGTTCGTATACATGACCTACACAAACCCTCTCATCCTCTTGTGACATTTTGTTCCTTTTCACTAGCGGTTAGCAATGAAATGCTTCATGACTTGTTTGTGTTTTGACAATAGACAAGTTGATTCCTCCGAGTTTCATAAGGAAGCTGAGAGACACCCACCTGGTTGTTGGTAAGCCTGGTGAGATGGAGTGTAAGGTCACCGGCTCTGCTCCTTTAACAACCTCCTGGTTCCACAACGGCCAGGAGATCCAGAGTGGACCAAACTGTGACATTAGCTGCACTGATAATAACTGCAAACTGAGAGTTCCAACAATCAGGATGTCAGATTCTGGCAAATACACATGTAAAGCTGCAAACGCTGCAGGAGCCAGTGAGACGAGCGCTCCAATGAACGTGACAGGTCAGTAGATGTGAATAAAGTCCAGATTATTTCAACCAGCTGTCCCCAGCTCGGGATCGGACTCTTTACAGAAAGCTAATCTTTCAACACACACTTTTTTATTTGAACCCAGAACCTCCATCTTTCGTGGAAACACCTGAAGCAAAGGAAACTTTGCCCGGCAAAAGCGTGTCTTTCTCGGCTAAAGTGAAGGGCAGTGCCCCCCTGAAAGTAAAATGGTTCAGGGGAGCCAAGGAAATGCAGCACGGAAGAGGCTGCGAGATCGCCCTGAAAGACGACGTCACCACTTTGGTGCTTCACAAAGTGGAAAAGTCCCACGCAGGAGAGTACACCTGCCAGATTATTAACGGTGCGGGGAAGGAGAGCTGCCCCGTTAACCTGTTTGTCAAAGGTTTGTTAGCATGATAGATATCTCTTTTTAACCATCTGTGCACTCTTAAAGGTGCTTTCTTTTCTTTGTAACTGATCATGGAATTACCTCTCTCAGAACCAGTCCACTTTGTGAAGAAGCTGAGGGACGTTTCCTCTGAGAAGGGGAAGTCTCTCAGGCTTGAGGTCACGTTTGCTGGAACCCCCCAGGTCAATGTAACCTGGAAGAAGGACGGTAACTTCATCTGGGCCTCATACCAGTACAACGTGATCATCACAGACGCCTCCTGCATCCTGGAGGTTCTTAACTCTGACAGGATGGAGGCAGCCGGTAGATACTCTTGTGAAGTGAACAACGGAGTCGGAAGTGACAGATGCGAAGCACAAGTGTCAATTCTAGGTAAAATCATCAACGTGCATGTTTTTGTAGTTTCATTTGTAATCATTCATCATCATTTATTAATTTCATTTAGTCATTCATTCCTTCATCAAAACATCTGCAGTTAAACTAAATCATCTCCATCTCTCACTTCAGAGCGACCTTCCTTTGTTGAGAAGATGGAGCCAGTGGAGGTCAGTGTGGGCGACGCGGTTACTCTGAAATGCCGTATTTCAGGGACTCCCGACATCTCCGTAGCTTGGTTTAAATCTGACGGAAAGCTGCGCAAGTCCAACACTTGCTCAATGGACTTCAGTAACGGTGTCGCCACTTTGAAACTGACCAAAACAACTAAGTCCGATTACGGAGAATACATCTGCAAGGCAGAGAACCGGGGCGGTTCAGCCTCTGCCAGCTGTGACGTGGCGCTGAAAGGTGATGATACTTCTCTTTTTACATGTTGATGAATCCTGCTGTTGTTGTGCATCACACTGTCAAAGACGCATTTTGATTTGTTCAGTGACAGTCACACGGGTTAAAGGATACCATGTTAAAGATTATACAAAACCTCTCCTCAAGATGTCCTCAGGTGAAATACACAAGTCTTTCTCTCAACGGTGCTCTCACTGCGTTTGATACAGGCTACATTTCAGCATTAATATCACAGCTACTTTTGACATGAAGGCAAATGCATGGCAGCATGACGCATTTGTAACATCAGCATTGCTTCTCTCAGAACTGCTGTGCTTTACTAAGAAGCTGGAGGACACTTGGTTCATGGTGGGTCAGTCACTGAAACTAGTCTGCTCGTACGCCGGGAGCCAGAGGGTCTACGTCACATGGAAAAAGGATGGAAAGCTGATCTGGGCCTCTTACCAGTACAATGTCAGAACCACAGATTCACTCTGTGTTCTGGACGTCCTCAACAGCGACCGGCCTGAAGCAGCTGGAACTTACACTTGTGAAATTTCCAACTGTGCTGGATCGGACGTCTGCCACGCTCGCGTCAGCTTAGGTAAAGTCACAGAGCCTTAACACTCATCATCACTAACGGGGTCATCAACAGAGGCCTTCTGCTGTTGTGTAGAAGGTCACGGTAGGTTTTTAATGGTCATCAGAGAACATGATCTCTGTTGGTGTAGACTGCTTCCTGCCTGCTAGCATAACGTAATGTAGGCTTCATGCAACTAACCCCACCATTGCTCTTCTCAGAACCGCCTCGCTTCGTGGAAAAGCTTCAGGACACTTATTTCAGACTCGGTGAACCTTTGAGCCTCAAGTGCAAGTTCTCTGGAAGCCAGAGAATCAGCGTGACCTGGAAGAAGGACGGCAAGCTGATCTGGGCTTCCTATCAGTACAATGTCAAGACCACCAACGACACCTGCATCTTGGAAGTCCTCAACAGTGACCGAGAAGAGGCCGTCGGAAAATACTCGTGTGAAATCTGTAACGCTGCAGGAAGAGATATCTGCCACGCTGATGTCAAACTAGGTAGACTGGCTGAGCGGCTCACCTCCCTATGAGGATTTTCATTTGTACGTCCTCCATCATGTAACCAGCTTGGTTACATGTAAATGTTAGGGTTAGGGTTAGCCTAACCCTAACCCTAGGGCTGCTTATACTATCTAACACCACCACTGCTAATTGATCTCTTAGAACCGGTTGGCTTTGTGAGAAAACTGAGAAACACCTCCTATAAAATGGGCCACCCTTTAACTCTGGAGTGCACGTTCACCGGCAGCCAGAGGATTCACGTCAGCTGGATGAAGGACGGCAAACTCATCTGGGCGTCGTACAAATACAACGTTAAAACCACCAACTTCTCCAGCACTCTGGAAGTCCTCAACAGCGACCGTCGGGAAGCCATCGGGAAATACTCCTGCGAGATTTCTCATTGCGAGGGCACTGTTTGGAGAGAAAAAGACGATAATGTGTTCGAGGTCCTTCAGAGCATGTCTCCATGTCCAGATTAGATGAATATTTGCTTGCTCATAAAAGGGATTCATAGACAGAAGAGTTTGTTAAAAGGGAAGATGTTCTGTATTTGTTTGTGTTGCAGGTTGTTAAATGTCGTCTTGCATGTTGTCGCTCTGTGTTTTCCCGCTGCAGTGACGAAGGCCCGGTGGGCTGGTGAATTTCAATTTCGACCCATTTCCCAAAGTCCCAACGTGGTGTGACTTTCTTCTCTTTTCCCCCGCTAACAGAGCACAAAGTGCCTCCAAACTTTACCAAGAAGCCGTCCGAGTCCATGATGGACTCTGTGGGTAAGACGGTGAAGATGGAGGGTCGGGTGTCCGGCTCCCAGCCGCTGGAGGTCACCTGGTACAAAGAAGACCAGGAAATCTTCAGCACCAACAAGTTCGACGTGAGCTTCAAGAACAACTTGGCGGTGCTGAGCGTCAGAGCCTCCAGCAGCTCTGACGGAGGGGTTTACACCTGCAAGGCAACCAACGAAGCTGGAGAAGCTTCCTGTCAGGTTTCTCTCTCCATCGCAGGTATGAGTGCTTTGTCGTCTCTGTTTGATTTAAAGTGAAATGATCTTCACTCCCGTCTGTGTCTCTTCTAAACTAAAGAACTAAACTGTAAAACTGGACCACAGAGTTCTTAATCACCTCCGCCACCCAAATGTCAATCATGCAGGGATGCAAACAACAAATGTTTGGCCAATGTTGCTTTCTTTCACGTCCGTTAGGTGACTTGTGTGAACCGCCATGATCTGAAGAGTTTTATTTCTGTTCCTGTGAGCTCAGCTCAGAGGTAGAAACAGAAAACAGAGAGTCGTATTCATGCTTTGATAAATCTTAGCTAAATAGAGACAAAACACATTAAGAATTGAACTGATTGCACAGACGGAGACATCTACATGAGACCAGCCCGGTCTCACAGACCTCCACCTGGAACTGGATATCACGTCAGTTAGGATCTGAACCCACGTTACTATGCAACAGTAGAGTAGAGAGACGACTTCTGGTGGACATCGAGGGGAGGTGGACAAGTCATCCATCGCAGGACTTTAATCAGGAGACCAGTGTCCGTGTCCTGAAGGGTTACTGAGTTATTGTGCTTATTATTGTACCTTCATGACATCTTTATACTTAGTTTACATATTTATTTTAAGTAGATTCATGACGTTAGTTCTAAATCTGACTAAGTGGTTTTGTTGCCAACACGTTAAGTGAATCAGGTCCTGCTCAGTGAAGAGGGTGTGCTTCTTTATGTGAGCCTACGTTGCATGACATGAGATGTTTAGGAAAATATATGAGTGAATTATTGTCATTTTCATTGACAATTTTATAAGTGTTTGCATCTCTGATTATAAACGCTGGAGTCTTTAATGCAGAAAAGGCTCCAACGTTAACTGTTGGAAAAGCGAGTATCTGTAGCTGCTTCTTTCCCGTCGCTCCTTCAGAAACCGCCCAGGCTCCAAAGTTCGACATCACTCTGGAGCCGGTGACGGCGAGCGAGGACGAGAAGATGAGCCTGAAATGCGTCGTCAGCGGCTCTCCTCCTCTGACCATCCAGTGGATGAAGGACAGGAGGGAGCTGAAGTCCGGCGGGAACACCACTATCACATTTGTCGGCGGGTCGGCGTGCCTGGAGCTCAGCCCGGTGTCCAAGAGCGACGGAGGGGATTACCTCTGCAAGGCCAGCAACGCCGCCGGCAGCAACTTCTGCAAGTCCAGGGTCACGGTGAAAGGTGACGTTTACTGCCATTTATTTCCTTATTTCAGTGTTTGTAGAAGATGGAGTACTTTTCACTTATTTAAATCTGCTTTTCACCAGTGAAGTCAGTCATGTATGTTTTCTTTCTTTCTTTTCGTGTTCTTTCTTACTGTTATGTCATCGATTTTGTTCTTATTATAAATGCTTTTATTGTTTCTGTTTTTACCATGTAAAGTCTCTTTGAGTGCCTTTTAAAGCGCTATATAAATAAAATGTATTATTATTAATATTATTATTTACTGTACGCACTCAACCAGGCTCCTTCTGACACGATGGGGCCGGTGAACGTTCTGTTTTGGTGGTTTGTGATTATTTTGGGCCATTTTTTGTAGGATTGAGACGGCTTTACCCAACAAGAAGCTTTAGGTTTTATTCCAATGAAATCTGCTGCTCCAGTTGGTTTTGAGATGACTGAGTTCAACTGATGACAAAACAACTTTTATTTTACTTTATTACGTCTATTGTTCGGTCGGCTTTATGATGAAAGACCCTCCTCTATAGCCCGGGCGAGCCCCATTTGGGGCACGAGTACCGGTACCGAAGTTCCGAATGGACTTTTCATCAAGAAATATGAAAAATGGTCCAGACATAAAAAAAAATTCCAGGCAAAATCATCTTGCAAGCCCCGGAAACTTTTCAATTTGAGCTGTGTGCCATCTTCTTTCACTATTAACCAGTAACATATACACAATATTTACAAATCTGAACAAGTCTCTCACAAGTTTTACCTGTATTATACCATCAAAATTATTAAAATAGACCTTGTAGTTTCAGATCTACAGTCTAAAAGGTATGGGTATGCAATTTTCGAGCAGAGACCTAAAAATAGGACTAGGGCTATAACGGTTTTAAGGTTAAAAGTCTCCATCTGAACCAACAGGTCAAGTTGAGTTTGGTAACTTCTAAACTCAGTTGTCATTGTTGGATCAGTGTTTTTTGGGTCTTTGGCTTCAAGTCAGACGCTGGACTCACCTCTGTGATTTCTTTCAGGTAAAGAAGCCAAAGTCTCCCCCAGTGAGGCTGCCGCCCCGGCTGCTGCCGCTGCCGCCCCCCCGGCCGCTGCCGCCCCCCCGGCCACCGCTGCCGCCCCCCGGGCCGCCACCTCCCCGGCCGCTGCTCCCCCGGCCGCTGCTGCCCCAGCCGCTGCCCCGGCCTCGGCCGCTGCTGCCCCGGCCGCTGCCCCGGCCCCGGCC